CTTGTACTGATTAGTATTTCATGATTTATATATTTGAGAAAACTTTATCTTTATCATATTTATGTCTCGCCTATATTTTACGGTTAATATGCGTTTAAAGATAAAGGCTTAGGAATAGAATAGGTGTTCACTCGAGGATCTATGATAGGGATCATGATTATGAGGACTCGAGGACACTACATGCCTATTGCCTGAAACTTGTTCCAGGTCTTGAATCACCAAGATAGGGCATTGATGATCTCAATAAGACTAGTACGACATCATCTACTTGTATGGAGATACAAGTTAGGGACCTCATGGAATGCAAGCATGGAGATGCCTTAACTGATGTGGTAGGTGGATTTGTTAGAGAACAGATGACACTAAAGTGACATGCTAAGAGACTCCACAAGGATTCATTGGATTTGTAAAGCCTTTCATCGTTTAATAGTGCGGATCTCCTAGACTTGAAGATGTCATCGAACACTATGTCCTAGGGTTATACTTTCACTGTACAACTCTATCTGCCTGAAAATAGGGAGAATAGTGTACTCTTGAGTATAACTCGAATGCATGAGTATAGATGGACATGGCGAAAGGATTCACAATCCCCTAAAAGCGATTAGTCGTTCACAATAACCGGTGGGACTTGGATGACTTCTAGTTGACTTGGGAGTCTATGCATAATAATAGATCATGAGGAGTCATGATCTGTCTTAGAGTCAAAAGAAGAAGATTCCTAATTCTGTGAAAAAACTATATTTAGTCAATCAAGAAATATGATACTCTATCATTGCTCTCGATTAAATGTGAATGACAATGTGAGGAATGATGCCGACACGATATCCAAATTAGATAGGTAGATCATTTGATCAACTCGATTAGTTCTGGAGCCATAAAACATTACTAATGTCTTTTTCTTTTTCTTTTTCAATTTGGTCCATTTCTCTTTCATTTTCTTTTTTCTTTTTTTGGAAACATCTCTTTCATTTTCTCATCCCTAACTTAGCCACCATCAACTAGCCCCACATGCTAATACCCAACAGCTATTACGACAAGCACTTGTCGTCCAATAAGGGGAATGTAGATAGGAGATCTTTATTCTATATTAGGTAATTGCCACTGTTGTCACGTCACCATATTCCTTTAACAAGGTGACAAAATTGTGATTGAAGACCACAGTAATTGATGAATGTCTACTTACGGGGCCAAATTGAATAAAAAAAAAATAGAAGAAGAGGTTATGACAAATCAAATTTAGAAGAATAAAAATTAAGGGATCTTGTACTAAAAAAAATTAAGGGATCAAAGCATCCATTTGTCATTATTTTGATAGGCTCAGCCATTTCACCAAACTGCAAGCCTATGCAAACAAGGACAGGATTAATTAATGTGGTTTGGTTAATTCATGTGCCATTTAATGACTTGCACTTTGTAGAGTTGTTATTTGTTCTTGAAGTTCAAATCTCATTAAAACTCTATAATGTGATTTTTGGTTCCTTTCTCTATTATGTGATTTTCGGTTCCATGGCCATGAGACAATTTAGTTACAAATGTAAATTTAGTAGAGTACTTAAAAGAATTGAGTTTAAAGGGAAAATCTGATTTACCTCCTCTAACTTGAAAAAAAATTAGAATTGCGAACTTTATTCTTGAATTTCAAAAAAGTATAATGCAATCCTTAAACTTTCTAATATGTGCATTTTTGTTTTTGTTTCATTCGGTTTTTTTACAAGTTGTAATGAAAATTAGTACACTAATGTTATGTGACCATTTTTTTTTTACCAAATTTATTTATTAAAAAAGTTCAATTTATCCATTAGTTTTGAAACTTCAAAAATGTGATTTCAGCGTGATGATTTCCATTAAAGTTGATGAGAAATCAAATAGAAGAACAATAACGCACACAAAAGAAGTTTAGAAACCGTGTTGCACATTTTAAAATTTCAAGACTAAAATGCATATCACATTTATGTTAAAAAGGTGTACATTGAATATATATATATATTTTTATTAATTTTAATTTTATGCTAGTGTAAATTATTCTATACCAATTATATTGGCCCAATTCAATAAGTCGGCCACTAAAGTCCATTTGAGGGATTATTTCCTTAAAGTAAGATTTTTATATTTTTATTGTAGAGAATTTCACTCTCACTATAAGGTATGTAGGATTACAACACTCTGGACTTAAGTCACTGAAGCGGCATATCCAATCCACTTATTTATGAACCGTTACTCTCTCAAATTATTGTCAAATTAATGTTAATTGAATTTAATCAACACTACGTAATGTCAGTGTAAAATTGTTTACTCACATTTAATAATATTTTAATATTTTATTTTTATTTTAACTATTAAGAAAATTAAATAGTAACAAATGATAATGCATTAAAATATTAATTAAAACTTTCTTATAATATATACCAATTAAATTCTTATTAGTTTCACATTAAACTTTAGGATATTGACCATTTCGGGTTACAAAATATTTATATGAATAATAATTTGTATAATTAATTTATTTCATTTGGAGCAGGAAGGACACGTAACACCATAGTTGTTAAATCTTGATTTATCACTATGATTTTACGTTTTTATAATTTTTTTTCATCAAAATAATTTTACCAATATTTCAAATGTTTTTATAATTTTTTACGATTTTTTTACCTTACGATTTTACGTTTTACGATTTTTTAATCTCCTTCGATTTTACTTAAAATCTTGATTTTAACAACGTTGCATAACACACGTAAAGGAGACGCGGGGTGAATTAGCACCTCTATCTAATATTACCACATGACATTTGTGTCCAACATCTACCTCTCAATCTCTCCCTTGCCACTCACTTGTTCACCCACTTCCAACTTATATTCATTTATTCCCGTCTCATTTAGGGTGTGCATGGCAACTTTTTCGGAATCAATTTTTTTTTAATTTTTATTCCTGGGAGCAAAAATGGGTAGAAAACTCGTTTGGTAAAATCGGTTTATTTTTTTGTTCCCAAGATGAACCGGTTTAATTTTTGTGCTGAGGAACAGAAAAAAGAATAAAAAAATTTCTGAATTTTTGTTCTCAGGCATAAAATGAGAAACACTTATTTCTCTCAATTACTCTCTACCATTATCATCATCATTTTTATCACCACCGTCATCCCGACACGACCACCACCATCATTCGCCGTCGTCGTTGTACCACCAATGTCGTTGTCACCCCACCACCACCACGATGCCACCGCCACCACCTCCACCCATCACCATCATCATCATCGCCGCCACCGCCACCGCCTTCACCATCACCACGCCATTACCACCACCACTACGCCATCACTTCCACCACCGTCACTAACTACCACTGCCATTACCATCACCACCACCACCATTGTCGCAACCACTGCCATCAATCACCACCATCACAATCACCGCCGCCGCCACCACTACCATCACCGTCACCACCACCACCATCGCCATTGCCACCACCACGACGCCACCACTTCACCACTTCCACCACTGTCACTAACCACCACTACCATCGCCGCAGCCACTGCTATTACCACTACCGACGCCGCAGCCACAACCACTGCCATCACCACCACTATCACGCCACCATCACCGTCACCAACCACCACCATCATCGTCACAACCACTGTCGTCACCACCATCACCAACACCACCATGTCATCACCACCATCTTCGCAGCCACTGCCATCACCACCATCGTCATCGCCACCACTACCACCACCACTGCCACCATTACCACCACCACAATGACGTCACCATCACCACAGTCATTGACGTCACTACCACTACCATCACGCTACCACCACTACCACTACCATCGCCACCATTACCATTACCATCACCGCTGCTGCCACCACATCATATGAAAAGGAAAGTGATAATCCGAAAAAATTATGCTTAATAGAAATTATTTTTATTATATTATTTATTGTGTTATCAAACGCAATTCTCATTCTCAGAATAAAAATAGAATATGTTATCAAACACATTTTTTCTCAAAAACTGTTCCAAGGCACAGAAATAGAAAAGAATTGTTTCTTTTCAGAAATAGTGTCAGGAAACAGAATGGTTGTCATGCACACCCTTACTCACTCAATTCTCTTCTCACGTCTTCATTCTCGAGATCAATAACTAATTGATTTTATTTTGTTCATTATTATTTATTTTATTGGAGGAAAAATCTCAATTTCATCTCTTATTTTACAATTAATATCACCTAATTTCTTATGGTTTCAAATTGATCACTTAGGTCAAATTGTATGTAAGAATTGATCAATTAATCTTTAAATGTCACAAATATCTTTATTATATAAAATATCAAAAATATCTTTAATCAAAAATAAAAATTGTACTCACTTTATATTAAGGTAAGATATATTTTATTTTATTTGCTTTTTTAATTTTTTTTATTATTTAAGTTAATTAATGCACCAATTCATAATAAGAAGACGAGGGTTGATTTTATTTTATTTTATATTTTTAAGAAAAATGAAAGTCTATGAAAAAAATGATGTTTTCTATTCCAACATACGTATGATCAGTCAGAGAAGGACAATCAAAAGCAATCAAACACATAGGACGGGACCATTTTCACGGCTTCTTTTCGTGTTCAGCAATTTCTTTTTTGGTAAACAGCAATTTATTTTTATTTTTTCTGCGATTCCCCTTGATAGAAATGTAAAAAAATAAAATAAAATAAAATTGGAGAGCTATCATGTGGTTATATTATATGTTTTTTTGATATCTGTTTTGCATGAGACTTTCTTGTCCACTTTATCTGATGCACATGCACTTCCTTTCTTCTAATAACTTCTTCTTCTTTTTTGGTAAAGAAATAATTTCATTTAATAATACAGATCAATAAAGTACTTTATTAACTTGCTTGGTTGAAAACTAAAACCTTATTCAACAAATATCTTTGAAATACATTTCGATTCTATATTATTGGATTACTTTGAGCTTCTATATATGTAGAGTTTGGATTGTTCTAAAAATCATCTTCTAATCCCAGTGTCTGTGGAAGGCTTTGACTTCAAGACCTCCATCAATATGAAGAGTTATCATCGTCTTATAAGTGACGTTTTTGTTCTCATCATTCAATTTGAATCGGAAACAGCTCAACAAAACTGCTGAGAATATCTTCATCTGTCTATAAGCAAACTCCTTTCCAAGACAAATCCGAGGACCTGCCTGCAGATTGATTGAAATTTATTTAAGATTACCGAATAAGGGTGCATATATATGTTACAAAATGAAAAATAACATTTATTACTTCTTATTAATCATTTAAGGCAAAAATATTAAAAGTTTTAAAATTTTCAAGCTTATATTTTTTGAGTAACGTGTTATTCTTACAACCTAAAAGTTTTACAACTTATTTTTTTTTTATGGTTGATTGTCGTCAATCCAACGGTTATGATTTATCGGGTCATATTTATTATTAATTTTTAATTTTTAATAAATTATAACCGTTGAATTGACGAAAATCAACGATGAAAAAATAAGTTGTAAAATTTTTAAGTTATAAGAATAACGCTACTCATATTTTTTTTATTTTTAATTTCTTAACATATGGTTTAAGGCAAACATTAACAAAACCAATAATAAACAACTAAGTGTGAATTCGAATCAGGCTAGGTGACGTTGGTCTCAGAAATCTTTAAAGAGGTTGAATTCTACCCTGATCCTAATAAGATAACGGAATCTAACCCGTCCTAAGATTTATCTAGTAGAAGAAGAAAAAAATATCAAATGTTGTAAGCAAAACTGTACTAACCTGAAAAGCTGTAAACTTGAAAGGGCTCTCAGGATGAAAAATGCCATTGTGATCAAGCCATCTTTCTGGTCTAAATTCCTCTGCATCATCACCCCATATGAATTTCATCCGACCCATTGCATAAGATAGGTAGGCTACCGTGTCTCCTTTATTTACATTATATCCATCTGGTAATGTATCATCAGAAAAACAAAACTTTGCATCCTGTGTCAAACAAGTCTTACACTTAATTAGAATATATGTACTTTATCTTCAACCATGTCAAATGTACAATAACCATTAATACAATTGAAGCCAATGGTAAATTATGTGCCCCATAAGTAATCTCCTTCGTTTTTGTTTTTATTTTATTCTTTTTAGGGGGTTGCCTTTGTCATGTGTATATTTTGATTTTAATTAGAGTGTTGTAATAAATGAAACTTGGGAATTTAGAAAACTGGTAAGTTCATCAACTTGATCTTGCGCTATAAATCAAGTTTAATTAAGACATCTAGTCATGTCATCTTTAGAGGTGTTTTCCTACTGACCATTTATGCAAGCTTGGACTAAAGATTTGTTCCACTACAATTTTAATGGTGTTTGATCTATCAGGATGAAAGGATATTGTGAGATCTGTGGACTAGCGGTGTCTAAGGAGGAGATAGTCACAGGTGGTGACAGATCACTAAGCACAAATAAAAGGCTCGGAGCCAAAAGGAGTGTATGTGCATAGTAATAACAAATAAAAGTTAGGGTGATAAAGAGCATATCAATGAGATTTAACCCTTTATTTATAGTGAGTTGTTACGTGAAGGTGAATATGACCTATTTCGCCTAGTTGGGCGGATTGGGCCCATAACATGATCCAAAATATATGTAAAGAACTTGTTCCCCTTAATAAAAGGTTTCGAATTTCTTGAGAATGAAAAAAAAAAAGTTCTTGGGAGAACAATCACTTATATGAGTCCAACTTAGCTCGAATTGAATTAATTGGATAATAATGAACCGGAAATTAAAAATAAAAAAGAAAAGAAAGAAAGAAATTGTTCCTCCTACATGACAGATCAACTTCAGAATTAGCCTTACCCAGGGAACTGCAGGATAAAGTCTGAGAGTTTCATTAATTGCTGCATGGAGATAATTCATCTTTTCAAGAGCTTCGTCCGTTAGACTTGACACAAACTCAGCATAGGTATTAATTGTTGTTGTGTTTGTTGCTTCTTTCACTTCTTCTGCAGCTTTTTCTTGTACTGCAGGATACTTACATAGCATGTACATGAACCAAGAAAGTGTGCCAGCAGTTGTGTCTCTCCCAGCAATAACGAAGTTTAGAATTATATCTCTTAAGTATGTTGAATCATATCCCTTCACATGCAGAAATCTTGAGAGAATATCTTCTCGGTTGCTCTAAATAGATCATGCAAAGTGAAAAATACATTAATATGCATATATATAGGGATTATATTTTCTTATACAACATGAGATAAGATATCTCATGTTACACTCACAAACTTATGTGGGTCCTATTGCACAGAAAAGAGAAAAAAGAATTTGAAGTAGGTCCCACGTCTTTTTGAATGTGTAGGAGAGACTTATTATCTCCCATCACATGAAGCTAATATTTTTCATATATATAGTTACAAACACAGCTTGTGTGTAATATACTTACAGCAGAATCATTATTTGGAGCCTTCATTTGCTGAATTCTAGTGGTGATTAGCTTGTGGATATATTCATTTAAAATTTTAATATTCTTTCTTAATGTGGCCTCTGATCCAATATTCAGGAATTTCTTGATCTTCCAGAAGACATCAACATAACGAAAAATGGTTAGTGCACTTGAAGTATCAAAAGCATCAGCAAAATTCTTCCCTTCTTCATTTGATCCACACATGCTGTCAAGTTCTGTTCCAAATGCAACTTGGAAAATTGAATCCAGAGTAGATTTCCTTAAAAGTTCCTATATAGATTAGTGGAGCAAGTTAACATGCTAACCAAGGAGATGAAAGAAGGCAATATGAATATATGACAGTAGAGAACATGGTAAAGAACTAATTAAACTTGTAGGTGAGATCATATTAAAGATTTTTATATTAATATATCTAACAGACTTCTCACGCAAAATCCTTTTAGGCTCGAAGCATAAATAACACGTAAGTTTATTTTTTTGGTTTTCCTTGTGCTAATTTAGATTCGAATCCATGACCACTCGATTAGAAGCTCTGACCAATTTAAGCTAACAAATTTGTAAGTGAAGCTATATTAATGATTTTTATATCGGTATCTCTAACAAATATAATTACCCACTTGGATTTCCAACGGATTATTAGAAGTTGCAGCTTCAGACACTATGTTTGCAAGTTTTGCTGCATTCTTTCTGAATACTAAAGTGCTGAAATTCCTTAACATCTTGGTGGAGAATTCATGACTGGATAACTTCCTTTGTTCACGCCATTTCTCGCCATCAACTGCGAAAATCCCATCACCTAGTAAATCCTTCAAATTGTTGTAGTTGTACAAACCCTGCACAAAAGTTTCAAGGAATGAAATTGAAGTCATTAGGCCAAATTTCATTCTTTTAAGAATCAAACAGACCCCTTTATGCTATCTCCAAACGCATAAGCTGCTATCTAGTTCAACTTTTTCTGTTCATAACTCATACTCATTCATAAAATAAATCATGGGATTTTTCATATACCAAAATAAATCAGATTATTGACCTACCAAACATAAAAATATTTTTCAAAAAATTCAGTATTAGACCCATTTTTATCACATTGAAAATAGGCTGCTCAAATTTTTCATATATTCATCAGCATAATAAATTTGATGACTTAAAGGAAATCCTAGAAGCTATTCAAATGCTTGAATTGAATCCCCTATATAGGTAAGTGGCACAACTAGGAATACATGCAGCCATTAACAAAGTATCTACCTTTCCATAATTCTCAAAATTGGTTTTGAGTATATACTCAACATTAATTGGTTCTGCTGTATAAATCTCATTTCTGAAAGGGCTGAGCAACCTGTATGTCTTGTACTTTCCTGCAAGGTCAGTCATATAATGGTGCAGCATGTTGAAGTTCAGCATCTGATTAAATGTGGTACCAGCAACAGGATGGTACTTCTTTCTGTGGCTTTTGTTCAATGTTCTGAACAGAACTTGAACCATCAGAAGAGTTAATGCTGCAGACAAAGCTGCAAAGAAATAAGGATTTGAAAGAAAAACCATGGATGGCATGTTGGGCTAAGGAAGAATGTGATGTTAGAGTCCTCAATAGTTTAGTTGCAATACTAACGGTTCATTATTGGTATCCTTTATATAGAAAATTTCTAGTACTCTATCTATTTTTTATTGTTAATGTATAATAATTTTTATTTCTTTCTATTTTAACCAGGAACATGTATTTCATAAATAAATAAAATTACTTTTTAATAAAGGGAAAAATATTTCTCCAGCTCAAAACGACCTCGTTTTAAATTATAAGATTAAAAAATTATAATGATAAATACTAATATAACCTTACAATATATTAGAATTACAAAAATACCTTGATTTCTGTTCCAAAACGACGTCATTTTAGACTCTTAATGGAGATAACTTATCTCCATTGACCGGAAAAATTCTTTACCCTTTTATAAATATATATTTCGTTTTGGACCAGCCATACTAGTCGAGTTCAATGGGTAGGCCATTAAGGTTTATATAAGGATTTATATCCTTGTATGTTGTATCTTAAAGTTAGACTTTTACAATTTTATTAGACTTTTACACCTTATGCATCATATGAGCATATTTGCCTCACATACAGTGGAACCCATTAGGGGAAACTGGTTATGGCTCATCAGGAGGGAATCTTCTCAAATTGTATATACCTCTCTTAAGCTATTGAATAGATATGTTGCCTACATATTCTCCTTTGATTCTCAAACTATGCATGAGATACTACCTACGATGACTCTCTCTTTTTTTGGATAGAACCTACGATGACTCTTCTTTGATTATTATTATTTTTTTTTAGTATAACTATGGAGGTGACTCTTCTTTGAGTTTTGATTCGCAATAGCAAATACTCCTTTTTAAAAAAAATATATATATATATATACTTCTTTTTTCAATAAACAAATCACTCACTTTTAAAAAAGTAATTCTCAAATTAATTATTGATAATAATTTTCTTAGACTGGATCCTTGAAAATAAATTTTAAAGGCGAATGGTTGAAATTTTTTGGTATAGTTTTTATATAATTTATTCAAAAGACCACAAGCTCAAAAACATAAAATATGCTATTTTAGATTATATTTTTTGGTAAACTGCTATTTTAGAATTTAATAATGCTATTTTAAAATATGCTTAGCTTTTTTTAGTTAACTCAACCATAATTACCTATAAGTTAGTTCCTCCCGATATTCTCACAAGTTTCGATTCTTTAAGTCGATTATGCGATTAATCCAGAATGCAAGGTAGGTCAGAGATGAAGATATTTAAACACATCCCAAAGGAGACATATGGAAATCGAATTGAGTCCCTTTCCTTTTCACTTACTTAACTCATTTGCTAGTTGCTACCAACCAACTAACACCATTTGGTAAAATTGCTTAATTTTGAAATCTCAAATTGCAACGTAAGTTCGCAATTTGTGAGACTAAAGTTTTTCATTTAATTGTTACAGCGAGAACCTACTTTTTTACCAATATAAATATAGGGTTTGTTGTCTCTTACATTGTAGTTGTAGGAGATAAAATTATATCTTATACGTACATACATAAAATTATATGGGGTCCATGTAAGATCATGTAAAGAAAACAGGAAGAAAAAATAAATTTGGATCTCATACACTTTTATTTGTATATTAAAAATAAGATTATTTCCTACAATACAACAAACATGAAACGTATAGAAGCCTCCCTTGTGAAAGGGTTATTATGGATGATTAGATAATAATCTAATTATAAGTAGTTTAAGTCACTTTCAGTGAAAAAGTGCATTTACTGCAAGTTTGCTAGAAAATATTGCAATGTGACAATAATTATTGGAAAAATTTGAGATAAATTAGTGAGAGGCTGATTTATGAGATAAATTAATTGTCACACATTAAATAATGTTGAGTCATGGTTGAGGAAATAATTAAAAGACTAGATGAGTTAAGGTATGAAAGTGATTTAAATGAGAGAGTTACCCAACGGGGCCCAATAGACCAAAGCCCCACTCTCTCTTTTTTTTTGGTGAGGACCAAAGCCCCACTTAAATAAAACATGAGAGCACTTTTTTGAGTTTAAAAATTGAGTAAACCCCATTTATAGTCCCTGTCAATATCTACGAAGTCCTTTTTAGTCCCTGGCAATAAAAAAGGACCAAATTGGTCCCTGAAATTACAAAAAAAGGGCCATGTTAGTCCTTATGTCAACTCCCAAATATGTAGAGTGGCCCTTACTTTCAGGGACCAATTTGGTCCTTTTTTATTGCCAGGGACTGAAAAGGACTTCGTAGATATTGCCAGGGATTAAAAATGATGTTTACTCTTAAAAATTTAGACTCTTTCCCTTGTCTTCTTCAGCCAACCAAAGAGAGAAAGTGAGAAGCTATTCGAGGAGAGCTCTAAACCCTAGCATCCTCAATACTCAACGAAATCAAACGATTCCAAAAGGAAAAATGCTTAGAATCTTCCCCTAAACACTAATCCCTTGTTCGTTTTTGGTTGGGAAGTACCATTGAGAGAGACATCCAAGTTCCAAAATTTCAAGATTTGTGTGTGTTGGGTGTTTTGGGAGGCTTCTACGCCATTAGAGCTTGCAAGAGGTTGCCTTCGTCATTCTATAGTGATTTGTGGTGAGTAAATGAAACTTAGAACATGTCTTCATGATGTTTTAATTTTTAGGTTTTCAATAAAAATATGTGTTGTGAAATGATGATATTGGAACATGTTTTAGATTGGGTTTATGTTATAAAAATGCTTGGGAGCATAAATAAACAATGGAAATGTAGTTAGACCACTATTTAGACACACTTTGATATTTTCGAAAATTTCATGTGTGTGAGGTTGGATTACTTGTGTTCCAAGAAATTTTTGATGGAGTTTTAATAGTTAATGTAGTCACAAGAATGCTAGGATAGAAGCAAGTTAACTATTATGGAGAAATCAAGCATTGGATGAGCCTATGAATCTTAATAGTGAAACTTAAAGTAGTCAAGTGTAGGTAAGTCATCAAAGGTTGCATTGAGAATGTGTAATCTTTTACTTGCTATTTGTTAATCATATATGATTAATAGTAAGCTCCCCTTGTAATAGTTGTTGTTGATAGCAAGGCTATTTTGTGGTGCTTTTGAAATAAAGCAAATGATTGAACAAATTTCTTTGGTGTGAAGAGATCAATCGGTTAGGAAGCTTTGATAGGGAAGCTTTCGGATCTTGGAATTTATCCTTTTATTGTTCCACCAAGCCTTGAATGAGTTGTGGTTTATGAAGTAATTGTAAATGCAATGAATAATGTATAATGCATGATATGTGTTTGCTTGGAGTTGGACACAAGATGTATTCCCTTGTGTGGCACAAGATGTAGTCCCTTGTGTGAAGCATATCGTGTGGTGTGTGTGCTATATAAGATGGATCGTCTTATACTGGGTATGTTGCAAGATGTAGTTCTTGTGTAATGCATACAATGTTCATTGATTAGTAGAATTATTTATTGGCGTATTCCGTGGATGGTAGATAGAGACATAAGGAATTACCTGACGGGATGGATGTATCTCACCCCGTGTGGGGATTGCTTGACATACAATGTATGGTTGCATATATTCTGTATTATACTGCTTATTGTTGTATTTCTGAAGTGAACTTTGGGATGGAGGAATCCTCCAAGAACCCCTAACTTACTGAGATATTTATCTCACCCCATGTTTCGGGATCCACCTTTTAGGTACTGACACTAATGATGCAGGAGCATCTATTGGCAGGAGGCCAATGTAGATTGAGTTCTATTGCATGCTGTGATACAGACTACTTTTATGTTGCATATATTTGTAATTCCTTTTGGAGAAGATTATATCATATGTAGGGACTTAAAGTGTGAATATTGATATTTTGTATAGCCCTTGATGTATGTTTTGATAGGGACTTTGATCATGAGGTTTATCTAAGTTCTATTACATGTATTATTTTGAGGGACATTGATGTTGTATTTTGTTATCATTGGATGTAATGAACCATGATGTAATCATTGACTTTGTATATGTGATGGAAGGACTATTAAGCCTATTTTGATATTAGAGTAAATATCTTTTTTGGTCCTCAGCAAATTTCACGAAGCCCGCTTTAGTCCCTAGCAAATAAAAAGGTCCATCGTGGTCCCTAAGAAATTCAAAATGGACCCATTTTAGTCCTTTTGAGGACTAATATGGACCTTTTTTGAATTTGTGAGGGACCACGATTTCAACTAAATGGATCCATTTTGAATTTCTTAGGGACCACGATGGGCTTTTTTATTTGCTAGGGACTAAAGTGGACATCGTAAAATTTGTTGAGGACCAAAAATGGTATTTACTCTTGATATTATATTGCCTGAGGTATAGGTAACAATGCATAAATGAATTGTGGTGCATGTGGAACATTTAGGAAATAAATGTATTATGCATGTAAAGCTAGTAGAATTGATAACTTGGTAATCAAGCTATAAATTAAAGATAACTTGTAATTCAAGAAAGAAGCATAAATGGATATATGAATGAGGATGTAAGTGCACCCATGTTTGTTGGGTATAGAGTTGTCATTCCATGCTTATTACATACCCAAACTGGGGTGGAAATGTCCCTGGATGACTTGCAACCCGAAATGGACCATTTTTTGTCCTAGGTAGCACCTAAACATTGCTAGGTGGCTTAAAAATGGCAATCTTCTCTGGACTGGCGCGCTAAAGCGCGCTACTGGAGAGAAAATGTGTGCGTTGAAGCACTCTCAGCGCGCTGCTCAGAATTAGCAAGAACATGTTATACTAAAATTGGCATAACTTGAGCTACATGGCTCCAAATTAAGTGAGGTTTAGACCTATGTGAAGTTAACACATAGGCCTATAATCCTATAAAATCTTAGAACCATTGAGTGAGTAGATTAATACCAGTTTTGACTTAAAGTTCATACTGCAATTCCGAAAGTTTGATTTAAGCAGTTACCTTGAGAGTTTAATAACTCTGGCTATACTTAACCAAATTGTTAATGTTATACCTTTATGGAAAGTTCTAGATGTCTAGTGTAACATACTAAAAGATAGAAATTAATGGCTATGGGGATCATTCCCAATTTTATAAAATGCGAAGATTGTTCAGTGGTAAGCATTAATAAAGTGAGATTTAAGCCTTGTTGGTTTATGAGGACCACTTGGCACTTATATAGAAGCAACGTATGCAATATTTAAATAAAGTTTAAGTATTCCGCAAAATATTAAGTTATGATTATAATTTTGAGTTATTTTAAATACGGAAAGAGTATTAATAAGGAAAGCAATTATTAACAAAAAAGAAAAGGTTTATCTTCAATTGTTATGATTGTAACTGCGTTTAATGTCACACGTAATGATAATAAACTAGATCACACGAGACGTTACATTGTACTTCTAAAAGCAGAAAATTTCATTCAACATAATCTTTCTCTCTCTACCTGTAATATTATTATAATTGCCTCAAACTTTCAATAAAAAATTAAATTGAATTTTTGCAAATGGTAAAAAGAATGGGCCTTTAAAAACTAAAAATAAAAATGCGTCTTTGCTTCATTTTCCAGAGCCCGAAAGATTTTCATATGAGAAAGTATATTAAAAGATATAATAAAATTATGGCTTTAGTGTTTCTATAGTTAATATAGATAAGTTATCTATATTCGCTCCTAAAATATCGTTTCTTTTTTAATAAAAAAAAAAAACATTCGGTGCATAACCTTTAAGCAGCAAGCAGGTCGTTTAGCCGGATAACCAATAAAACCGTCGTTTCTTTTTTAGTAAGCCAATAAATATAGCATGTGATGGTTCGGTGTTTTAAGAGATTCGCAACTTCCATATATGTTATGGCATTTATTGCCCCTATTCAGTAGGCAGGTATTGATTGCATTTATGAAATTAATATATTTTTTAGAATGGATTTCATTTTAATTTAATCACGTTATGTCTGAAAATTTCAATTATATATATATATATATATATATATATATATATATATATATATAGAGACAGGATCCTTTGACACCGGTGTGAAAAAAAAAGTTTGACACTTCATCTGAGAGCCGTTAGATTAAAAAAAATCAACGATTCTGATTTGTAAGCATGTGATACCATTGATTTTTTTTAATCTAACGGCTCTCAAATGAGGTGTCAAACTTTTTCTTTGACACTGGTGTCAAATGATCCTGCCTCATATATATATATATATATATATATATATATATATATATATATATATATATATATATATATATGAGGTAGGATTCTTTGACACCGGTGTCAAATTTCAAATTCAATACTAGTGTCAAAAGATCCTGCCTCTCATATATATATGTATATAGGGGAGGATGAGTTACACTATAAAGTTTGACACCAAATCTTAACTGTTGATTCTCGTGAATCTAACGATTATAATTTAATGGATCGTATTTATTAATTAATTATTGATTTCTAATAAATTATAACTGTTAGATTAAGAAAATTAATAGGCAAGATTTGGTGTCATATTTTTTAATTTGACATCAGTATCAAATGATCATGTCCCTATATATATTGTCTAAGCTTGACATCACGCCTCTTCACCTGCAGTACAATATCAGCCCGCATATATCCTTTCAGGGTAACATAGCGCTCCCCATCAAAAGTAGAAGCCTCCCCAGCATCGAACCCATAATCAAGCAAATCCTTCTATATATCAGCAGTCACCGCGATATAAATGCGCAAATCGTGGATGTAAAGTCGCGTTGAATGTTGTAACATCCCAAGGGATGGCAAGGACTAGGAGTGATCGTCAGTGTAAAAGAGGCATGGACAATGAGCGACTCATGCCAAATCTTGTTGTTGGGGGTACATGAATGAATCGAATCAACACTCGAAAGAGAGGGATTCCAAAGACTGTGCAGGTATGAGACTGTACAGTTGGAGATAACTTATAAGAATTAATTGGTACTACCTATACTAATAAGATACATATACTTTTCGGTAGCCCGCAACAGAATAACTCAATAGTTAAGCATGCTTAACTTGGAGTAATTCTGGGATGGTTGACTTACTGAAAAGTTTTTCTAGGAAGTGTATGAAAAAGGACAAAGCACGCTGAAAAGTCTCGTGTTAGTTTGTGGAGACAATCATTGATCTTGCGAGCGGTCGGGTGTTACAAATGTAGCAGTAATTTTGATAGAAGGCCTTCACCATGACCTTAGGATATGGGCATGACATCTCTGCAAATACCCTCAAGTGTGCGTGGTCCAGTAATCTGACTATGAAAAAAATCCTCTATCAGGAAGAATGTCGAGTCTAATGATTTAGGCTCGACGACGCCTCTGCATGAAAAATCCGACACGAACAAAGCATGTTATGTCAGATCATTGCGGAACAAGTAGCCATACAGCATGTTGATTGGGTCAACCTTCATCGCCCTAGACGAAGAAGACCTGTCATGTCGGGATTCTTCGACTGCCTTTCTGCCACGGTTTTCTTCGAGGATCGTCTATCAACCATGGAAACTAACAAATAACGAAGAAAACCTGAAAAAACAAACAAGATTGAGTGAACAAATCAAATAAAAACTCAAAAAACTGAAGAACCTATAGATCGAAAATAGGGTTTCAGATTTGGGAATTTTTGCAAATAAAAACCTAATAGAAATCAAAGATTAAATCAGATGAAAATTGCAAAAGAAAGATGGAGAACACTCTTGTCGAATGATTTGGTGAGATTCCACATGTTGGAGACCAAAAAATTCAACTTGGGAGGGAGAGGTGTTTGTTCGTGTGTTTTTGTTCTTTTACTCTGCGAAGAACAGTGGCTTAAAAAAAACCTTTGATCGATATTGATATCAAAAGCACATAGAAAAGGTGACTAAACAGGGAACAATGACCAAAATGCCACTGTTCCTAAACTTTTTTCCCTAAATGCCACGCCAGCAGTGTTAATTCCCAATATGCCACGTGGGCAAGTTCGTTGGGCACTGTAGCGAACTTAGTTTGCTGATGTGTCACGTTCCTGGTGGACACCAAGTTCGCTACTCCAGGTAGCGAACTTGGTTGCAATTAATGCACCTGCACGTTTCCACCTGCCACGCCACGTGGCAGACATGCAACGAAGTTCACTGCCCACTCTAGCGAACTACGTGTAAGGGCTAGGATGACACATTGCAGACATGCAACGAAGTTCGCTAGGGTGGGCAGTGAACTTCGTTGCATATCTGCCATGTGGTGTGGCAGGTGGAAACGTGCAGGTGCATTAATTGCAACCAAGTTCGCTACAGTGCCCGACGAACTTGCCCACGTGGCATATTGAGAATTAACACTGTTGGCGTGGCATTTAGGGAAAAAAGTTTGGGAACAGTAGCATTTTGGTCACTATTTCACTAAACAGAAAGTCAAAATTTCATTAAAGAGTAACCTTTCGATTCTATCAAAATAACAAAATTCAACTCCTAGAGCAATGGACTTAAGCATCTTTTTATAAACTAATTAGAAATCAATTCAAAATCTAAAATCTTTTAAATAAGAAAAATTCCTAAAAATAAATATATTGCAATTACCTTATAAAAATAAACAAATAAATAAATAATTACAATTAAATCATTCAAAACACGTCTCAAATCTTATATATCAAATAATGTCAAATCTGTTGCTTTTCTCTTTTTGCCAAACAAATCACTATCATATATGTTGCTTCATTTGGACTTAGATTGGTTGTAATTTATTATATTTTTAATTACTGTTTCTTTTAACAATTGGACCATACTTGTTGGGCCACAGTTTTGGTTGATTGCAAACTTCTTGAATCAATGATTGAGTTATATGCAATGAGCCAATTGTAAATGCATCAGTTACTCAAGTAAGAGCGCATCATACTTGAGTAACTCACTTACTCGAGTAAGAGACTTAGTTACTCGAATAACTAGTGGTAAAAGGTTAAACATGAGCAGATCGGAAACTAATTTCGAAAGAAAGATAACTTACTTTTTTTTTTTAAAACAAGGGTACAATTATCAAAGAGCCTCAAAAAGGTCATTCACCGCCACATGTGTTGTAAACTGTTCTACAGTTTTTTTTTTAAGTCTCCCACATTTTTTAAACTTCTGAATTGAATTCTTATATTTTATTTTATATTAAGTAACTCTTTTTTATTTTATTTTTTGGAGAGTTAGGTAAATTAAAATTTATTACGAGCATAAAAAAATAATATTAAATGTAAACAAAACTATTTTTTGTAGAATGTTCTAAATATATGATAAACATTTTTTAAAACAAATATATAGTATAGAATATCACACGTTTCCAAAGTCAAAATTAAAGGGATTGGCAAACTTTAGTCAGCAATAACTTATAAATATTTTAGTTTTTTTTTAAAAGATCTTATATTACTCTTTTATAATGATGGATGATCTAGGAAATATTATTTCTTCTCATTTCTTTACAATTTTCTTACTCAATTATACACTTAAGCATATATCAACATCACAGTGTAATAATCTAGAGAAAAGTTTATTTACCCAATTACACACATACAATTTTATACCAGACTCTTAAGCATGAGCTTATTTAAAGTGGGTGTTTAGATCAACAAAATGTCAAAGATTCTTCCCTTTCACTCCATGCCCCGCCCTCAATACAATCTTTTATTTGAATTTTACTGACCCAAGAAACAAGTCTAGCACCATAATAAAATTTATTACATCAATTAACAAACCCGAAATTTAATAAAAATCCCATTAGAAAATCTACTTACACTAGATAATATAATCTCTACTTTACTTAAGCATATCATTTCACCTTTTCTTTAGAACGAAAAGCCTTAAATAGCTCTAAGAAATACCAAGGTGATTTGCTTTGTTTCACTTTTCACCCTACTCATGACCTTGGAATTGCACATAGAGGGAGGCCATTGTCCATGTGAAGGGTAAACATGACCCTATAAGTCACATTTTTTGTTCCATTTGCCAGTTTAAACCTGAAGAAATGAAGAAGAACCATTGCTATTATTTTCATTTGTCTGTATGCAAAGTCCTTCCCTAAGCAAATACGAGGTCCAGCCTGCAATAACACATTGAAGCTTACATACAAGATTGGTAACAAAAATTCTCATCAAGCAAACAAACATAAAGGAAAACAAGTTACAAACATGGAAAGCTATGAATTTAAATGGAGATTCAGGTTGGAAAATTCCATTGTTGAGCCATCTTTCAGGACGAAATTCCTCAGCATCTTCACCCCAAATGTTACACATGCGACCCATACCATAGGCCAAATAGTACACTCCATCACCCTTTTTCAGTTTGTGACCATCTGGAAGAATATCAGGTGCCTCTGCAGTCCTTCCATCCTTGAATCATACCAAAGACATGATCATCAAAATCCACATAACAAGTAATGTTGTTTATGCTGTTGCAGCCTAACATGGCAAATAGGTGAGTGTGTACATTTCTAGAGTCACATGAGATGAAATGAAAACCATAGAAAGCAATTTAATTTATAGCTGAATGCGCACGCAGGCGCACACACATATTTTTTATCAACTGACCAAACTTGGATGCTTGAGTTAGCTCAATTGCCCAAAGCAAGAACTGTTGTAAAAGACAGTGGGTGATATGTAAAATCACAAAGAGAATTGAATCTGTGTATGATATCAGATGTAATTATTAATCGTAAAAACAAAGTGCAATAAAAACAAAGAACAGAGTCAAAGGGGAAGTGTGTATGAATGAGATGTAAATATGCAGAAAAATGAAGATGAATCCGAGCCCAATAGAAAAAATGCAGAAAAACAAAGGTGCCCAAAGTTGATGAACACTTGTCTCCCACGATAGAATGGATTTGCGTCTCAAGAATGATGGCAACAATCAATTAAGAGCCTGAACAAACACAACTGGATGCCTGAGGAATCACACCATGTACGGTATGAATGCATGCATGCACGGACGAAGTAAAAATCCGACAAAGTAATGATGCAAAAAACTAGATACATTTTTTACGGTGGGAACGTCTAACCGTTTCGGTTCAAAATGAAACCGAAAGGGAAGAACCGGTTCAATTCAGAATTTGGAGGGAAGCAAAGATTGGACAAAAAATAATTTACTAAAAAAATTATTTTTATCTCTCTCACAAACATGCGATCGAGCAAGCCATCGATGGTGGCACATGGATCAATGCCCACATAAGTCCTCTCTTCTCTACAAAATATGGAGTGCCCCAAGGGACAATCTTGGGGTGTGAGATGCAAGCTTATAAATCTTTCTACCTCTTACTAGTTGTCCAATGTGGGACTTCTTAGTTTATAACTCACACACCCTTTCATCTTCCCTTTCTTTTTTTTTTCTTCTAAACCACTTCTTATTCATAACGCATGAGATTTTATACATAATTCCAACAAAAACAAATCAGATTGTGCAACTATCATAAGTGGCGCAAACTGTTTAAATAGCATGTGATACAGATAATAATATTGGGTTTTATAAGAGTTATGTTGTAGGAAAAGTAATTGTGTCATGTTACTGAGATTCGTTTTCCGTGCCTTTGTTTTTGTATTTTTTTTGCTTCAAAAAATGCAGACCCCACAAAATATTTTGTGTGTAGGAAACTTTACCATGTCATGTTAATGGAAAAACGAAAACCCCGATAGTATTATCATCAATCAACGTTACATTTATCTCAACCTAGTTGGAGTCGGCCATCAATAAACTCAAATAAAAAGTAAGAAAAAATTGATGGAAGAGAAAAAATAACTAAGCAATGGGAAAAAGGACTAAAAGGGATCATACAGATAATAGTATCTAACGTAAAATTTTTGTAAAGGATGAAATAATTCAAGATGGTTTTGAGCAAATTTATAGAAGGTACCGTAGGAACTGCAGGGTACAATCTCAAGGTTTCTGTCAATGCTGCATGAAGATAATGCATTTGATCAAGAGTGGCATCTGTTAAATTGGCGATGAACTCATCTATGTCGGATTCACTTTCATGGCTAGAAGTGACATCTCTCACTTCTTGAGCAATCTTTTCCTCTATAAGAGGATTCTTGCAGAGCATATACAAGAACCATGAAAGAGTGTTTGCACTTGTGTCCTTGCCAGCTATCATAAAGTTCAGAATTATATCCCTCAAATACTTATCTGTCATAGTTGTTTGGTCCTTCTTACTCTCCATCAAAAACCTTGATAGTATGTCCTCTTTAACATTCTGAAAACCAAAGCAACCATTTAAAGGAGGACTTAGAAAAAAACACATTTTTTGGAAGACTAGATGGTCCAAATGCATCATATCCAAAGTTTCACTACAAGGCTATTGAAAAATACTAGATACAATATCATTAATATTAAAGAGATATAATATAAAATTATTAATGTGACATTCACCTACCAGTTTAAGTTTTCAGGTTGAATTGGTTCTTTACTGTCAGAGCCTCTGTGACTAAGTTATAGTATATGATATATTCGAATGAAACAGAAACTATAATGAGCGGGGAAGAAAAGTTTTTTATCAACTCACAGAATCTTGCTGAACTGCCAGTTGTGCTTTTTTGTTATTAATTACTCCATGGACGAAATCATCTATTAATTTCACATTTCGCTTAAGGGTAGCTTCACAACCAATGTTAAGAAACCTCTTGATCCTCCAGAATGGATCAACATAGCGCCAATAAATTAAAGCATTTGACTCGTCAAAGGCCTTCATGAACTCACTTCCCTCTTTGCTCGATCCCTCTAAGCAATTCAATTCTGTTCCAAACCCAACTTTGAATATGGAATCCAAAGTGCATCTCATTAGTAAGTCCTAGAAAAAAGAACAAACATTGTATCTACATCACGCTTTGTAATTGTAAGATTATATGATGAACTGTTAGCAACTGAAAATAAAAATTGTTAATGTAACTCATACTTGTAACCTTTATAATGTAACGCTATCATACTTTAACCTATATTGAAAGACAAAATTGTGAAATATAGCTTTAAATTGATGATGAACAAGCTTAGAATATGCTTAGATAATGAGATTAATTAAAGCCTCCTCAACAATTTCAACTTAAGCAAAGACTATAATCCTTTCATCACCAAGCACATGGATCAACTTGCGGGCAGTTGTTCGAACTTAACCAGTGGTCTCGAGTTCAAACCATAGGTATACAACTCTATTAAAACCTGGTACGAAGAGCTTTGCTATCCTTGTGGTCCTGCCTGGCTTGAATTCGAATTAGTCTGTGCTTGTTAGTGACCATGGTTTAAAAAAAATAAAATAAAAAAATATAATCCTTCGTCAATCATATACTAGTTCCTATGGGAAATATAACCACTTACTTGCATATCAAAAACATGACCCTCATGGGAAAATCCTGATATAACTCTGACCAACTTTGCAGCATTCCTTCTAAAAACAGAACAACTGAAATCTCTAAGAACTCTTGTGGAGAATTCATAACTAGCAAGCTTCCTTTGCTGCCTCCACTTTTCACCATCAACATTAAAAATCCCCTCACCAAAAAGATCAGTCAGAACGCCCTGCTCATACTTGCCTTTGGAGTACTTATCAAAGTTGGTTTTCAATATGTGTTCAACATTTCTTGTATCTACAGTGTACACATCGCTTTCATGTAAAGCAAGAAGCCTGCAAGTTGGATGAGTTTTGGCCATTTCAGCATGGTAATTATGGAGTGTGTTGAAATGGAATAGTTGGCTAAAAGTTGTTCCTTTCACAGGTGCGTATTCTGGGTCCCCTATGGATTTTCCCATGAACAAGGTTAGCATGATGAAACACAAAGCTATGAAGAGACCAAGAAAAGAGAAGGCTATGAAAGTCAACAGGGTGTACAAAACGTCCATTTCTTCTCTGTATGTTGTTCATGAGAGGTTCTGTTCCAAGAAAAGGTGGCGTCTATGTATAATATTATCGAAATTTGGAGCTTTTATTAATGGCTGCTATTTGCATTTAGTTTATCACTCGTGCCCCACGACGCTATTTTGCATGCAGTTGACCATTCATGCCCCATGACTGTACTTCGCATTTGTTTGACTATTCATGCCCCATGACGCAAATCAAGTTAATGGATCACTGGTGGAAGTCCGTTTAAATTGAATTTACTTAAACATATATAATAAATATATAAATAGAAGTAACGTGACAATTAAAATAATTTGGTTTAACACTCAGCATGTTACAGGTGTCAAGTTTGAATCTCATTAGTGTAATTATGGTGGAATATTTTACCACAATTTTCAAAAATCAATTCAACCAAAAAATGGATTTCAGGTTAGCTCCGATTTTTGACTAGTTCACAAGTTTTTGATCGAGATTTTTGACCACTTAATTGATTAAACTAGATCGGTTAGTGGTCCAATTCCCGATTCACCCAGTTCAACTTGCTGAATCGGACTAGTTTTAATAACAATGAATGAGGGTCCAACTTACTAATGAGGTGGCGGGTTCGAGATTGCCCTACCGGTGCACGAGTAGCGCCTCCGTGTTTATGAAGGCATGGTATTGCGGACTTGAGCCCACAAATAGTTATTGCGGTGGCTTAGAGTTTTTTAAGTACCTATTTGGACTCATTTTTTTTTTTTTTGGAAATATTCCAATTGGTTCATTGCTTCGCAATTAATCCGATTCGGGGCGGGTCCAGGATTAAGGCTTTAAATCCCTCCCAAAAATGGTATTGAAGAGATTCGAACATATGCTCTCATCCCACCTGCTTAGCTCTCATGCACCAACTGAGCTACCACCATTTGGTTGGACTCATTTCTTTAGTTTGTGTTTGGCCAAACATATTTAGTTAATTAAGATACACATGATAACAAATGCGACAAAGAGAATATAATGACGATACACATAACCTTACATTAGAGTAAACTATGTGTATTACTTTTTATGAAAATATAGTTTCTCATGTTGCATGTGATAAAATTGTTTCATGTAGATACAAAAAAGTGTCTCACCCTTTTTTGTGTGTACATGAGATAAAATTGTCTCATGCAATATGAGAAATTATATTCCCTACATTCTTTTATTATTGTGTGTGATTAAATTTGTCCTTACCAAGCTAATAAAATCGGACCGACCCGCCCGGGTCGACCTGGGAATCGGTAAACCGGTCATATAACCGGTCCGATTGACGCAATGGATCGACCATGCATCAGAACCGGTGCGAATCGACAGATTTTCATGAAAATCGATGACCAGGTCGGTTAACTGGTAACGTGGCCCTGTCCTAAAAAAAAATCATAATGGACATATTTGAGTGTTTTTTGTTTATTGAGTTACATAGGTTATATACCTACAATACTAATATTATCTCATTTATGCACTATGCAGTAAATTTTGATTTGATTGATAGTTAAAGATGTCGTTTACTGAACCTGAAGCCCCATATCACGATCATTATATTTTTGTTTGATCCTTTATTGGATAATAATGTGTGATTTATTATTTTTTATATTAAAATAGTTGAAGTTTTTATCATTTTTTTATATATTTGAGTATGTTTATAATTTTTTAATATAAATTATAGAATTGCATATAATTACTGAGTCATGCGATTGAATCAGATACTCAATATCTCTACCAGACCGATTTTAATAACATTGGTCTTTGCAATTAGGGGTGTCAATATGGGTTGACACGACACGAATTCGACACGACACGAATACATCAACACGAACACGACACGAATTTTCATTCGTGTCAAAATCTTCAACACTGACACGACACGAATTTTTTGCGGGTTGACACGACACGACACGAATAACACGCAAAATAGGGGACAAAACGGTAATTGACAAAAAAATTTAAAAAATAGATCGAAAATAAAGAAAAAATTAAAAAATAATAATAAAAAAATAAAAAAAATAATAATTAAAAATAATACGGGTCGACACGAACACGAATTCATAAACACGAACACGACACGAATTTTTTGCGTGTTATTTTTTCCAACACGAACACGACACGAATTTTTTTACGGGTCAACCCGAACACGAATTTTCGTGTCGTGTCGCGGGTCGACCCGCGTGTCAAAACCCATATTGACACCCCTACTTGCAATGCTCAAAGTGAAAATGACTTCTTATTGCATATCAGTTTCCTATATTTATGTTTTAATCCTGCACTTTTATTTATTGCATTTTAGTCCTTTCTAAATTCTAACACAATTTTCTGTATTTATTTTCAACGCTGAAGTTTTAGTTTAATGCGTTTTGATCTTTTTTTAACTCTATTAAACTTTTTTTTTGAAAATAAAACTTTTAAAATGTAACTTTTTTTAGTGTATTAGTTTTTGAAAAGCTATTTTTAAAAAAAATAAAACTTTTTTAAATTTTTTTAAAAATAAACATTGTTGTTTGCACACTTGTTAAAATTGTTTGAACAAAAACGGCGAGATGATTATAGCATATATACAGTGCAAGTATTAAGTACAGAGGATGAGCAAGGTTATATTTACTACCATTTTGTTTATAAAATTTTATAAATTACACTATATCTTATCGATAAAGCACTTTTTTTTGCGGTACCAATTTTTTTTCCTTGCAACATGACGGATTCAAACCCCTAAGTATATAATAAAAGGGAGAGGTTATACTATCAATCCATTTTTTCTTATAACCTCTTACAACCATTTTTTTTTATCGTTTGATCAAAATCAAATAACGGTTATAAAATAACATCAACATCAAGTGAGAGTCGGTGATTTAATTTTGATCAAACCGTAAAAAAAATGGTTGTAAGGGAAAATAGATTGTAGGTATAACTTCCCTTGTAATAAAATTGGTCACAAAATCAGTTTTGTCAAAATTATGTAATACACACATCTTTTTTATATTCGAGGGAGATTATACTTACAATCTCTTTACTCTCACGACGTGACCTTACAACTATATTTATGGTTGTTGATCAAAATAAAATCAACGGTTATAAAATAACATTAAATGAGGAGATAAGGGAAAAGAGGGTAAATGGTAAAATTTATAAATAAAGTTTAGAATAATGATATAACTAGAAAATAAATATGAGAACTCTAAAAAATTGACATACATCTCAAAAAAAGCTTCGAGATTTTAGCTTTTATTTCTTTTCATTATAAAAAACTCTTTTATGATAAAAACTTTTATAAAATTATATTTGGCTAAGCTTTCGCTTATAAAGAGAAGGGAAGCTAAAAAATAAGAACTCCAAACAAGCACCAAATTAAACTTATTGTAAAGAACCAATTCAATCCAAAAGCTTAAGCTATTGGGTGAGGCAACATTAATGGTTTTATATATTTCAACACGCACCCTCACACGAGAGCTAAAGAAATTCCACTAGAAAGAAAGTGAGGGGCGATGAGGATCAAACCCGGTACACCGATGCTCTGATACCATGTAAAGAACCAATTCAACCCAAAAGCTTAAGTTATTGGATGAGGTTACGTTAATGATTTTATATATTTCAACGCTTATACTTTAAAGACTTTGAAGTTGAACAAATTGATTCATCTAAATATTCTCTTCAGTAAGCCAGTGGGACCTATGTATGACAACAGTTGATTTTTTCATTATTTGGTGAATAATTTGCTTATGTCAAACCAGTGAAGGAAAAAAAGATACAGACTATTGTTTAAGGGAAATATAAGAATCATCTCCTGCAACAACAAAAAATAACTATGTACTATAGATAGTATATAGTTATAAGGGATATAAAAAAAACTTTAATATTATAATTATATACTACCCGTAATACATAATTATAAGGAATATGAAAAAAAAATAACTATATACTATCTGTAATACATACTTATACCTATGTCTACTACCGTAATACTATATACTATCCGTAATACATACTTATACCCCTGCCTACTGATGAGCCTGCCCAATCCGCATCAGTGTAGATTTCAATCGTCCTTTTATACCCTTTTTTAAAGAATAATCCTCTTCATGGAGTGTTCTTGAGGTATCTAAGACCCTATAGACTGCACTAAGATGCTTCTCCTTGGGTGAGTGCATGAATTGACTAATCATACTCACCGCAAAGGCAATGTCAGGACGCGTATGAGATAAGTAAATTAGTTTACCAACCAATCGCTGATATTGTTCTTTATCCACCTCATTCCCATCTTCAATACCTAACTTGGTATTAGGTTCCATAGGTGTCTCAGCATGCTTACACCCTAACATTCCTGTTTCCAACAAAAGATCTAGAACATATTTTTTTTTTGTGAGAGTGATGCCTGTTTTGCTCCTAACAACTTCCATACCAAGAATATATTTGAAAGTGCCAAGATCTTTGAGTTCAAATTGAGCTGCTAGAAATTTCTTCAAGGTGTTCAATTCCTCAATATCATCATCGGTAAGAATTATGTCATCTACATATACAATAAGAATAGCAATTTTATCATCCTTAGAGTGTTTGTGGAAGAGAGTATGATCAGTCTGTGCTTGAATGAAGCCTCTTCTTTTGACTGCTTGTGTGAATTTGTCGAACCATTCTCTGGGAGACTGTTTCAATCATGATAGAGACTTTTTTAGTTTACACACTGATCTATTTCCCTTTTTAAAACCAGGTGGAGGATCCATATAGACTTCTTCATGTAAGTCACCATTTAGGATGCACTCTTCACATCTAACTGTTGCAGAGGCCAATCTAGGTTGGCAGTAAGAGATAAGAGAACTCGGATGGTATTGACTTTAGCAACCGGAGCAAAAGTCTCATGATAATCTATCCCATGAGACGGAGTGAAACCCTTAGCAACTAATCTTGCCTTGTATCTGTTGATGCTATTATTTGCATTGAATTTTATTGTAAACACTCATTTGCATCCTACTTCATGTTTTCCCTTGGGTAGGGTCACTATCTCACAAGTTCCATTTCTTTCTAAAGCATTCATTTCTTCAAAGACATCATCCCTCCATTTTTGATCATCGAGAGCCTCATGTATATTTCTCGGTATCTTTGTACTATCCAACATAATATTGAAAGCACGGAACCCTGGGGACAACTTTCCATATGAAATATGATTAGAAATAGGATGAGTAGTACAAGATCGAGTACCTTTTCTGAGAGCAATAGGCAAGTGTAGATCATTTTCACCAAAGCACTCAAGTGTTGGGGTGCTGGAACTAGAACATGGTTCAGAATCCTGGCAATGTAGAGGCTCTGGGTTATTCACACTTTGAGGAGACTTTCTTCTGCTATAAACTTGTCCCCATTTTGAGGAGGCTCCTGATGGTGAGAATTCTGTAGCTCCCCCTGTTTCCAAAAGTAGAGGTAATACTGTGGCATCAGTAGGTTCCCATGACTGATCTTCATCCACTCCTATAGACTGCCCCTGAAGAGAAGTCAAGGGGAAGAAATGGTCATTTTCAGAAAAGGTGACATCCATAGAGACAAAGACCTTACGAAGAGAGGGTGAATAACACTTATAGCCACGTTGAGTAGGAGAATAACCAATAAAGACACACTGGAGAAACTTAGGATCAAGCTTAGACCGTTGATGGGAGGGAATATGGACAAATACAACGCAACTAAATAACTTGAGAGGTACGGAGGAGACGCCCCGTAAGGAAGGGAAGGTACTAGAAAGAGGAGACTGAAATTTTAAAATGTGAGATGGCATTCGATTTATCAGATACGAGGCAGTGAGAACTGCCTCTCCCCAAAGATATTTAGGAACACTCGTGGTAAACATAAGAGCCCGAGCAACTTCAAGGAGATGTCGGTTTTTTCTTTCCGCAACTCTGTTTTGTTGGGGTCTGTCAGGACACGAGCTTTGGTGAAGGATGCCATGTTGGGAAAGATATTCTCCAAGAATAGAGTTAAAATACTCTTTGCCATTATCTGTACGAAGAATTTGTATAGCAACTTGGAATTGGGTTTGAACCATGGCATGAAATTTTTTAAACACGGATGCAGCATCGGACTTGTCCTTTAGAATATATACCCAACAAACTCGGGAATGGTCATCAATGAAGGTAATGAACCATCGAGTACCTAAAATATTTTTAACACGGGCTGGACCCCATATGTCACTATGAATTAAGGAAAATGGGGAAGAGTCATGGTGAAATTTAGAAGGATAATGAGCACGAGTATGCTTGGCAAGTTGACAAATATCACAAGAAAACAAACTAGGACTTTTATTAATAAATAAGTTTGGTAACAACTTCCGAAGATAAATAAAATTTGGATGGCCTAGCCTACGGTGCCACAGCATAACATCATTACATGAATCAAAAGGAAATATAGATTTTTTTTCTACAAAAATAGCTTCATGAGTCACATCCTCCTCAAAGTAGTAAAGTCCACCATCCTCTCTAGCACTGCCAATCATCCTCTCCGAGTCCTGTTCCTGAAAAACACAACCATGTGGAAAGAATTTAGCAAAGAATGCAACTCAGAAGTCAGCTTGCTTAGGGAAATGAGATTACAAGCCAGAGAAGGAACATAAAGAACTGATGTCAAATTAATCAGCTCAGAAAGTTTAATGGTTCCATGTCCCGCAATCTGGGAAAAACTGCCATCGGCGATCTTGACCCGAGAGGGTTCAGAAGATATGGAGTGTATGAACAAAACAAGCCAAGATTACCTGTCATATGATCAGAGGCTCCAGAATCAAGGATCCAATGATTTTGACTATCAACATGGAAAGTTGTACCTTGCTGGACCACATTACTAGTGGCCTTAGGAGGTTGAGTCAAAAGTTTCTGAAGTTGTTCAAACTGAGTCTGCTAAGAAAGACACCATCAGAGTCAGAGGATGCATGAGGCTCATCAACCTTGTCATCAGTAGAGACCTGATATGCACGACCTTTATTTTGTCTTTTAGGCTTCCAATTTGCAGGTTTCCTGTGGATTTCCTAACATTTCTCACGGGTATGACCAATTTTATTGCAGTGGGTGCACCATGGACGACCATCCCGTTTTGATTCTCCAGAGGAACGGTCAAAGGTACGGTTGGCAGCTAATGCAGACATATCATCAGACTTATCAAGCGACTCATTTTCTCCCAGCATAACTCTCCGTCTACTGGCTTCTCTACGAAGCAAAGGCGTCAGCAAGTGAGGGTAACGGTCGTTGCCCCAATATTCGACCACGAACCTCATCAAGATCGCGGTTGAGTCCGGCAAGGAAACCATACAGTCTTTCCTTCTCCAAGTGTTTTTTAAATTGGGTATTAGCTTCCAATCCCTTAAGATCTGATGCATAATAAAGATCCAATTCCTGCCATAAATTTGTTAGTGCAGTAAAATATTCAGTAATAGTCATACCCCTTTGACGAAAGTCTCTCAACTTATTTCTAAGTTCAAAGACTTGAGAAGTATTCTCCAGGTCTGAGTAATTTTGTTGAACAGCATCCCAAATTTCCTTGGCAGTATCGAAGAACAGATAGGTTTGACCAATCTGTGGTTCTATGGAATTAGTCAGCCAAGTCATGACCAAGGAATTATTAATCTCCCAATTGTCATAATCAGGAGAATCCTCAGTAGGTTTCTTAATTTTTCCCTCGAGATAGCCCATCTTACCCTTTGCCCGGATGACCAACTTAACCGATTGAAACCATTGCAGAAAATTCTTACCGTTCAACCGGTGATTAGTGATCTGCAAACCTAAGTTGTCTCCAGAGGGCTGAGAATTTGGGGCAGGTGAGGAGGCAGAAGAACGATTCGAGGAAGCCATGAATAGAAAGTGAAGGTTTGACCGTGGATCCAAAAAAAAAATTCTCTGATTTGATATCTGACCACTGGAACAGGGACAGAAGAGGCTGACGAGGTGATCTGGGCAGCTCGCGCCGGAAAAAGAGTCCGGGAAGGCGGCGTGTGGACCACACGCGCCGGAGAGTGGCCGCGCATTTGGCGGCGCGTGGGCGGTCTGACGGCGACGGGTCCGGCTGCGTTCAACTCGTCGGAGCCTTCTGAGTTAAATGGTACCTCCACCTTCTCGATTGGAGGTCTGTAGGTATGGTTTCTGAGATTTGGGTTTAGGTTGGATTGTGTTTGGGTGGTTTTTTGGATGATTTCAGCCTTGAAGGTGGCTGATTTAGGGTAGGAACGAACCCGCTCTTGATACCATATTGAAAAAAAAGTTTCTGTATATTGATATTGATATAAATTACATGATTATGTATTTATATAAGAAAGAATCGCTAAGAATGACTCAGCGATGACTAATCAATCCTAATCACAATCAATTCTAATCAATCACAATCAATCATAATCAATACTAATTAATAGGAAATAAAAACAGAAACATATTCGAATTCTGATTTTCTACGGAAGCCTTGTTGGAATTTTCCTTACTTCCGAGTAACTCACTTTCCTTTGATTAAAGCATTCAAATAATGAATTCATTTGAAATATAACAAATTTTGTCCTGTTTTAAGTCTACCTCTTGGAATTTTACATATGATAATCCTGATGAGTTATCACTTTATTCCTTTTTTGTTTGCTCTGGGAACTCAGGTAGACAAGGTCGGCATCAAGATTGGGAACATTAGACAAGTTGGGCATCAAGATTGGGAACATTAGGCACAGGAAGAAAATCCAAAGCTCAAATCTATTGTAACAGAAAGATCCAAGCATCTTGATTTTATTTATCAAATGCCCAAAGAAGCTTAAGACAGTACCCAAAAAAAAGAAGCATAAAACACACATATAATCCATATAGTGTACACAGCCTCAGTGCCACCTTATGTTATACAGACCAAGCCTTATTTTAATTATTTTCCTTCATATAATTCATAATTCATATCATAGTTATTACTTATTAGTAGTAACTATAATATATTTATTACTTAATAGTGAACTACTTCATGTAAATATCCTCTGAGAGGCCATTAACTCCTATCTTGGAATTGACCCTAGATAAAATGGGAGAGTGAGGATCCACCAAAGGGAAGCAAGAGACAACAACTTTTCCCCTAGCTCTTCCAGTTTCTAAATATCGGAAAGCCTCAATTACATCGTTAAAATGATATGGACCTGTGGGATCAATTTCAGGTTTGAGCTTTTTGCATTCCAAATATGGCCTAAGCTTTTCCAAGCTTTCCCCAGACACTGTCAAGCTTGAATAAACTGCTCTTGGATGTGATGGAGGCCATGTTATGTCAACTATTGCTCCATCATTCTTTGCTACAACAAAAGATTTCTTGCAGTCACCTGAAAATTTTGAAACATGTATTAAACAGTACATAAAAAAGTCAGCATCTTTATGATGCAAATAATTAGTTTCTATAAGGACAAACCCCAATGCACCAGGTTCCCCGACTCGCGAGGATAGAAGTGAGGATCAATTGTACGTAGCCTTACCTTTGCATTTTTGCAAAAAGGTTGTAAGACTTATTTGAACCTGCTACATTCAGGTCACAAGGAGCAACCTTACCGATGCCCCAAAACTCACCCACAAATAGTTAGTTACCAAAATGAATAAATTTACAAATTGTGTCATAAAAGTTTACCAATTGTGTCATAAAGAAAGTCAAATTTCTCCTCAATGTCTTCATATTTAGTCTTTGTATAGTCCACCACTTTATCAGCACCTAACTGTTTTACAAATTCCAGTTTTGGGGTGCTACAACTAGCCACAACATAAGAAGCTCCATAGAAGTGTTTGGCTAGCTGAACCACTAAAGTTCCAACCCCACCTGCTCCACCAACCACAAATATTGTCTGGCCCTTCTTAAAACCTGCAGTTGTGAAGCCTTCTATTGCTGTCTGAAGTGCCAAAGGCAAGCTTGCAGCCTCCTCAAATGAAAGGCATTTTGGTTTTCTTGAAACCAAGCTCTCTTCCACAACAATGAACTGTGCCAAAGTTCCAAGCTGCTTTGGTTTTTCCCCATTGTTGAAATCTTGGATGTTGCCATAAACCTCATCACCTATATCAAATTTTGTAACATCAACACCTTTTCCTATCACCACACCAGCCATGTCACAGCCAGGAACCGCCTGCATAATTTGACTTTTTCCCATTAATTCATTTGTTAAATTTATGCATAATATTCCTGCTACTCATCACAAAAACTTCTCTTCAAACTAGCAACCACGTATGATTTATCTTTCAACGTTATTATCTTCATGCATAAATTATATATATTTACCTAGGCCAGATAATGTTTTTCCCTTTTAAATATCCCACATCCCCAAGAAATATGCTTTAATGTGTAAAAGCAACATTAAAGGTATTTAAGTCTACATCATTAAACCATCACAATATTGATGGTAACCAATAATGCAATAGTCCAGTGGTTCTCAGGAAAAGATGTTATCCACTTATGATATTATCTAACTTAGCAAATGGCTCCCTAGATTTTGAGACACATACAAAATTGTTTCATATAATGGATTTAGAGTTTCATACTCACTGGAAAGTCAGAAGGAAAGATGGGAGATTGACGCCTCTTGACATCAATTGGATTCAAAGCAGCAGCATGAACTTGGACAAGTAGTTGGTTATGCTGAGGAGTAGGAATAGGTAAAATCCCCAGCTTAAGGACTTCCTTAGGACCATACTCTTCATAGAACCAAGCTTCCTGCATTTTCATTTTAAATTTTAGAAAATTTTCTTCTCAAATGTTTTTAGATAATTGGACCTGTCAGACACTATATTAAGTTGAAGAGTGAAAGAAGAGTACATATTTTTCTGAGAGAGATCGTCTATTTAAGGAAGGCATAGAAAGTGGGAAACTAACTTTATTGTCATATTATTCTCAGTCCAAATGGGAACTCATTTCACCAATAGCACAAAAACAAAGGTGGTAAAATCTAGAGAATGGAATTTTCATGCCGTTATACTTCTTCTACATAGCATGAAATAACTAGTGAAAATTGATGAACCCAATTGTAACGTCCGGCCACTCGAAGCATCAATGACTATTCCCACACACTAATACGAGACTTTTCACCGTGTTTTATCCTTACTCGCACAGTTCCCGAGAAAACTTCCCAAGAGGTCACCAATTCCAGAATTACTGTAAATCAATCACGCTTAACTATGGAATTCTTCTGTTCTGGGCTACTGAAAATATATGCATCTTGTTAGTATAGGTAGTACCAATTAATTCTTATAAGCTATTCCCAACTGTATCGTCTCATACCAGCACAGTCTCTGGAATCCCTCTCTTTCGGGTGATGATTCGATTCATTCATGTACCTAGTCGCAGGAAGCCTGCCAGGAACTGCTCCTTGTCTGTGCCCTTGCACATTGACGATCACTCCCCGCCCTCGTCAACGCCCGGGATGTTATACCAATAATTATTATAAACTACCTTCCACGTGAAAATAATGTCATCTTTAAAAGAAAGGAATTATTAAATCTTTATAGAAGTCTATTACATTGACATAATTGATAGAGAACTGCTACATGGTTGAAAGAAGACAGGGCTAAGAATACTCATATCTGATTCTTTCCTTTTCTTCGTTATGTTTTAATCATCTTAGTGCTTGGTAGAAAACCCCATCTAAACCAGTTATCTAAAGCAGCAAACTTAAAGTTACTTTCTGCTTTAGAATTTGAAAATGGAATTGCAATAAGCCTACAACATTTAATTACTTGAAATATATTAGGGGTGCTTATTGTCATTCTTGTGCTTTCCTAGCACTTCCATGTTATCACCAAATATATGTCAAGTAAAAAACTGATCAAATAAAACATAATGATTATCTTAGAAGAGGGGTTGATCCAAAGTCATAATTGATTCAGTGATAGCTAAGATACAAGAAGCAAGATATTATCTTGTACTTGAGGATAACCAATACATGAATGGCTCTCATAGATTGGTGATAGGTTTGTTCTCTTTGTTAGTTAAGATAGACATGTCTGAATTGAAATTCATTAATGTTGGCCACAACAAGTTATTATCCAAAGCCATGATTTATTCAGTGATAACTAAGATACAGGAAGCAATATATTATCTTTTTCTTGAGGATAACCATAACATGAATGGTTCTCATAGCTTGCTGATAAGTTTGATTCCTTAGGGAGTTAAGATAGACATGTTTGAATTGAAATTCATTAATGCTGGCCACAAGTACGGACGAATATGACTTTGTAGTCTTCATAAATAAACACTGAAAAACAAGTTATCAACAAAGTCCTTATGGTTGGAGTTCATTTGCTATAGCAGAGTTTTAAAAGGACATTACTGGAAGCAGCTTGAGAAGTGTGGTACATCTTTCAGAGAGTGACAAATCTTAAAAGCTGAAAGAGATGTTAACCTGATAATATTATCAGTAATCAACTACCAGTCAACCACAATGCTAAGCACTTCATGATTCCATTTGCATTTTGTTTTGTTGTTTATATCCATTTAGCAGTGTTTATCCAATCTTTTATCTTGGCTCTTTCATCCTTATGGACGCTTATTCTTATTGGCTCTTCTGGTGTTGAATTGTGTGGTACATCTTTCAGAGAGTGACAAATCTTAAAAACTGAAAGAAATGTTAACCTGATAATATTATCAGTAATCAACTACCAGTCAACCACAATGCTAAGCATTTCATGATTCCATTTGCATTTTGTTTTGTTGCTTATATCCATTTAGCAGTGTTTATCCAATCTTTTATCTTGGCTCTTTCATCCTTATGGACGCTTATTCTTATTGGCTCTTCTGGTGTTGAATTGTGTGGCTATTAATCTTTACATGTAGAAAATCAGTAATATCTAACCAGTTTATGGAGCAAAATCTTCTTGTCACGTTGATTTGATGTCTAACAGTTGTTTTGCTTGTAAATTATTCATTAATCTTGGTGTGTTCTTTAAAGAGTTTGATGTTTCTCATATTATATGAGATAAAATTATCTGCTACACGTGTATAAAAGTGTATAGGACCTACTGGGGAGCCATGCGAAAAAAATGAAAGAGTAAGAAAATATGTGCTTCACATACTTTTATGCATACGTAAGAGATAAAATTATCTCTTATAACGAGAGATATTAATCCCTTATTTAAAATGGGAAAATATTCATTTACAAAAATTTTTTAAATTACACTAAGTTTGACTGGTTATACACTCTTGACCATTTAAAAAGTTTGTAAATATAATCTTCCTCATTTAAAATATAACCTTGTAGTTTGTAAGAATTTGTAAATAAAAAATTTGTAAATATAATCTTTCCCCCGTTAAAATATATAAAGTGGCTTTCATAATTTGTACTCAGGAGTCAGGACTGCATTCACTGATATAAGTTGCTACAGCTTTTTTTCTTTTTTTTTCTTTTTTAACATAAAATTTCAAACTCAAGATTTATAAACATATTATTACCGCGCCAGCGCCACTTTAATTAGTTTCAACTCAGTTTTATAGGATTTGATTTGTGGAACTCATACCTTACTTCCTAATGCTACATTGTTGTGAATACTTTTTTTCATAGGGGTGCATGTCCCCACTTATTTGGACGAAATTAATCCTCTTTGTAGAATAGAATGTAAAGATTTTTGGCACTAGCCCAAATTATTTTGGATAAGAATTGAATCAGAAACCTTTCAACTCCATTAATCCAGTTCTTAGACACATGACTCACTTATAATTATATATGTATATTTTACATATTGTTGACAAAGGTTGAGGGTTTTGAAGGAAAAAGGAGAAAGGAGATAAATATATTATTTTGAGTACATATTCTTTATTTTAAAAGTGTTTAGAATGAAAAATATAAAATAAAATGATAAATCATCATAAGATTTCAATTATTATTTTTTGGGAAAAACTATTCTCATGTTAAATGAGATAAGTTTTCTTTTCTACATGTCCTTCGATAATTGTGCTACCTTTTTCTTTTCTTTTCTTTTTTTATTTTTCAGGTGGTGGAGCCCACAAATTTATCTCTATTACATAAGATGATTTATCTCCTTTAACATGATATTAATAAAACCCTTATTTTTTTTTAACATTACATAACTCTCCTAATTCAGAAATGGACTAAACTCCGCGTTTTTGGTGAGAGTGAGACACCCTGTGAGTAGGGGTGTTCATCAACCGATCCAAACTCATTCAAACCGCGATGACCGAACCGAAAAACCGATAACTGAATAAACCGAAAACCGAAAAATCGAAAACCGAAAAAAAACCGCAAAACTTAATTGGATTGGATCGGTTTTCGGATGGGTTGATGAAAACCGATCCAATATATTAATTTTCTTCTACCTACTTAGGCTTTTTCCCAATCATAGCCCAAAAATTTCTAAATCCAAGACCTATTAACCCATCAACTACACCCAAGAAAAAACTTAATCACATCTCATCGAAAAAAATTCATCTGTGTAAAGCTTCATATCTCATTGCCCAAAAAAAACTATATTATCGTTTAATGATGCTTTTGAATTTCAAAAAAAAAAACTTACAAAATCAATATATACAAAAGATGTTATTTGCACAATAATCATGAAACAAATTTTAGAATTTTCAAAAAATCGAAAACCGATCCAATCCAAACCGAAAAAAATTGGATCGGATCGGATTTGAGAAAAAATCCAAACCGAAGATATTGGATCAAATGATTTTTGCTTCCAAAATCGATTCAATCCAGACCGCGAACACCCCTACGAGAGGAGAGATGGACTAAACGGTGCGCTTTGAGCTTGGGCGGCTGCTTCTATCAAATTCAAATTATCAGAACAAACAGTTTAATTTTCAGAATCCGTTCATTACCGAATTGCGTCTATATGGTTGGTTTCATGATTCTGAGATTCTTGAATATGCTCATAATGGTGAGCTTTACAAGGAAAAGAGGTAATCATCATCTCATGAGGTTGTGATTTGTGAAGGTTGTCTAACCTGCGTAACCTTTTCCTTGCAACACTATGCCTTTCCCGCTTCTTGTACCTTTCTAACAAATTACGTTATTATCGCTTTTTAGAGGAAGCCTAACTGTGTCTTATTAGTTGTTGGAGGATGTACATTTTCATTGATTCTAGTTATTGTGTCAAATTATTGTGTTTTCACTTTTGAAAACACAAAACAAAGCGATTGTTTGTTTTGTGAGGAAATTAATTAAATAACTGAAGAGGTTGAATGGGCAACAGAGTAGGACTCATCTTAAAAATAAAAATTTAAATATCATCAAATTATGATATGTTTATGATGATTGTAGCTGTTAAACTAATTGTAATGACATGCTGAGAAATATGAAATTGTAGAGAAATTAAGTGAAAATGGATTAGAAACTCAAATATTATTATATAAATTTCTAAGTAGGATTTGTTATATTCTGTGCTTATCATTTTATGACTTCTTTTTTAAGCAAGTCTTCTGTACTATTTGACTCAGAAATTCACTGTTATGGTGTCAATATTGTGTGTATAGAATGAGATTCGTCGATTCAGAGTCTCAAAATTAGTTTAATGTATCATCCTAACTGCATATATGTCTCATTCTATATGGATAAAAGCTTCAAGTGATTCGAAAAGTTTGATGGGCAGGTTTGAATTTTTTTTTATTATTTTATTTTGTCTTTTCATTTTTGGGTGTTAGGATTGAATATTTTGACATATATATCAAGTTGGTTTATGGGAAGGAATGAACTGCGTATCCCAGCTTATTTCATATCTTTGTGATGCAATGTTTACTTTCTCATGAGGAATACTTTATTCTTTGTCTGAAATTTGCAACAGCATGGCCGCCAAATTTTCTTTTCTTTTCAACTTCCCACGGGAGCATGTTTCACTTTTTGTTCTCTCTGATTCCATGTTCCATGTGACGCACTTACAAAGTTACAATGTTCCACTGTACATGAATATTCAAGAAACTCGGTGTTAACTAAAATTATTGTTCAATAAGTATGGTCCGATTATTAAAAAAAAAAAAATTGAAATATAATAAATTACGATTAAATTCAAGTCCAAATAAAGTAACAGCTAATATTGTGATTTATTTGACAAGAAAATAAAGCAACAAATTTGACATGATTTGATATCTAAGATTTGGTACGTGTTTTGAAAGATTTAATTGTAATTATTTATTTATTTTTATAATTTAATTACCATTATATTTAATTTTAGGAATTTTTCTTATTTTAAGGATTTTAGATTTTGAATTTTGAATTTTTGATTAATTTATAATTATCAATAAAAGGGTGCATATAACCCTTATTGTATGAGTTGAATTTTGTTATTTTGATAATTAAAATTAAGAACTAGAGGATTACTCTTTTATGAAATCTTAACTTTCTGTTTAGCTAATTTTATTTTTATTTTTGAAGATATTCCAATTGATTCATCGCTTCGCGACTAATCCAATTCGGGGCGGGTTTTAGGGTTAAGACTTTTAAACCCCTCTCAAAGGCGGTAAGGGTCGAATATATGCTCTCACGCTCACCCCCACCTGATCAGTTTCCTGACGCCAACTGAACTACCATCATTTGATATATTTACCTATCTTTTCTATGAGTTTTTGGCATCACTTTATCTCCTCATTTTTCCTTTATATGTATAGAGAGAGATGGCAGGATCTTTTGACACCTATGTCAAACTTTGAAATTTGATACTAAATTCTAATCATTAATTTCCGTCAATCAAATTTATTAATTAATTATTAATTTTCAATAAATAAAAACAGCTTCATTTCATGTTAACTCTAAGCATTCTTTGAAGATTTTAATGAAAGTTTAAATCATTACTCATTCCTTTGCTCTTGTAAGCTATGTTTCATCGATATCGACACGGAACACGAGACACGATATGACACGACACATCGAACACATTTATTCTAAAAAATGTCATATTTCGACACGTCTTGATATTAAATAATATTTTTAATATATAATTAATACAATAACAATCCATAATAAGTCATATAACCAATTAAATATTCAAATTCTATAACATAAATATAAAGCAAAAGGAATTTTTCATACCTTGTTAATTTTTTATGTCAGATTCCATAACAGAAAAAATTGACTTATAAATTAATTTTTCATTTTTAGTTAATAAAATAAAATTTAGACCTAAAAAAAGGTGTCAAATGCGTGTCGGAGCGTTAATCGCGTGTCGGAAAAATTGATCGCGTGTCGAAAACACATATCAGACTGTGTCGAAGTATTGACCGTGTCTCTCAAAATATTAGCTGTGTATCAAAATGTGTCGGAACGTATTGGTATTCGACACGTGTCCACACAAATTTTTTAAAAAATCAGGTGCACGTGCTTTCCAACTTGTAAGTAGTGGCCGTGAAACAAATATCCTGAAATTAAGGATTGAATTCTAAGGAGGGTGGACATTTCTTACACTTCGAAACTTGTATGGCTCTTTGAGGTAAAAAAGTTGGAGGATAAATTTTTAATAGGTTTCATTTTGGATAGGTGTATTTTAAAAGCTTGAGTATAAATTTGGGGATTTTAGATTTTGGGTACTAGTAAATGATAATAAGAAAGTTGAATTTTGATCTTCAAAAAAAAAAAAAAAAGTAGAATTTTGAATTTTCACACGAGTTTCTCGGAGATTATTAAATCTTATAACTAAGAAGTTTATCTAACTTCCTTATTAATTGTTAGTTCAACCCAAATCAGACTCATGCGGGCTGCGGGCTATTCGAGTTGGTTCATTGACCCACATTTCCTTTATTTATTGATATAAAGTCTAGAAATGTTAATTTCAAATATTTTATTTTAAAAAGTTATATCAAAAACTTCAATTAATATTTTTATATTCCGACCTTAATTATCTTTTTGAGGCGAGTCGGTCTCACGTATCTTCATAAGCTTCAACTCTTTGAACCGTCTATAACACTAATCTTGAGTCAAAATTTAGTTATAATTAAAGTTTATCGTCTCTCCCGAAAGATGTTTGGTGGGAATTGAACTCAAATTTTCTTCCATGTTATTCTTTATTTTCTCTTTTAGACTATTTTCATTTTTTTTATTTTAGTATTTTCTTCTACTGTTGTGAGTTTTCAACATATTTGGTCTTATTTTTTCTTTTTCTTTTTCTTTTTTTCCTCAGTTTATTTTGTTATTTTTTATTACCACTTATTTGAATTTTTTCTTCTATTTTTTTATTTTTTATTTTTACTTTTCTATAAGTATTATAAGTTTTCAATATATTTGGTCTTATTTATTCTTTTATTTTATTTTTTTGTCATAAGTCTAATTTCTTTTTCTTAGAAGGATAAAATAAGTAGATTAGTTTAGTTTCTAATAGTGTTAAGGATGAATGTTGATAGAAAAAATCATAAGAGTGTAAGTGATTAAAAAAAAACATAAGATATAAGTGACTCAAAGTAAAATCATAGGGGGATTTTTGAAAAAAAATTTAACTAATGATTATTTCAAAATAAAATTTAGGTAATTTTAAAAGGAGAAACTTAATAATTCTAATAATCAATCATAACATTTTTAGTATTTTGAACTGGCTTAACGTGGCCTACATCAAACTAGACCAATTTGAGTTGGGCTAAATTGGTTCAAAACCTTAAGCATTGGAGCTTGAGTCTTGCATTGTAGACCACCGAGCCATCTTGACCAATGACCATTTGTTAGTAAGTACTAGCAAAATAATTTTAAAACTAATTTATTCCCGTATACTGAATTCGAGTACAGTTTCATGGAGTGTTTAAAATTTTAGTTAAACATTTTCCTAAAAAGAAATTAGTTAAACTTTTTAGAATTTAAAATATGAGATTTATAAGAACAATATTACGGAAAAGTAGTTGTATCATGTCAGAGAAATAAAAAATAACGGATCCCACATAATTAAAAAAAAAACATGTAGCACGCATCGATGGCTCAATAGGAAAGTTTTCTAAGAGTTTTTGATGTGACAAATGCATTTTTCAAGATATTTCATTGAATTAGTTTTTTGGTCAAACATATAATTGGACTAACGTCGAAAGACGCATGTCAAGTGTCTATGTGTATAGTCGCGCGCAAGATAGTTGTGCATACGACGGAGATTGGATGTGACGCTCCATAAACATGCACCTGATCATGACATGATGAGATTGAACAGACTGAAACACGCACATGGGTCTGATGCGTCCATACTGAAACGCGCGCTTGGTACTGACGTGTCTTAATTGGACCGACATGAGACACACATCTCGTGCCGACATGTCTTGGCTGGACTGACACGAAACACACACATGTCAGGTGCGCGACAATACACATAGATATCTGATATGTGTCTTCCTACATCAATTCAATAATACATTTGACCAAAAAATTAAACAGGCAAGATATTTCGAAAATCGCTTTTGTCAAGTCAAAAAGCCACTTTCCTATGTCATGTTGCATGACACTCGTATCTCCTTTAAAATATTTATTTTTTTAAAGCATATTTTACTTTAGGGATATAAGTTTTTGTTGAGAATTTTTTTTCCTCTCCTGTTGAAATAAAAAAAAAATTGGGATTCACCAATTAAAAAAAATTTGTAACTGATGAAAATTTGTATGTTTATGCAAGAGAGTATGTTTTTTATCGGGAGAAAAACATACCTCTTTATTTTATTTACATTTAAAAACATATGTTATGCAATGCTCAAAATAATTGGTCAATATATTATGGAATAAGATATTATGTTGGGCCTTTTTTTATATTCACCCTAGCTATTTGATAAAAATCTTCAATAACTTTCATCATTTCTCTTTTATTTTAAGAGGAAGGTTATACTTATAATTTTTTTTTACAACCTCTTACAATCATATATCATAACCGTTGATTTTCGCAAATCAACAATTGTCATTTATTATGAATTAATAATTAATTAATAAATTTAATTTGCGAAAATCATAACCGTTGATTGACGAAAATAAACGATTATAATATATGATTGTAAAAAAAAAAATTGTAACTATAATATCTTTCTTATTTTAATATTTTGATTTAACAATGTTAGAAAAAGTATGCAGAGTAGTCATAAAAAAATGTATATATTATTTAAAAATCAATTTTAAGATGTTCACCCACGGTGTATTTTAGCATTTTCCCTACTACTAACCTCACTGACAAACACTGCCCTAAAATCTTCTCTCTTGGCCACAACGACGAGAAAAATAGTGTAATTCAAGGTAAAGGGTTCTCAATTCTCTATTTGATTTTAAGTTTTCAAAGCTCAATATGATGAAGTTTCAATTTTTTTATTTCCCCTCTTTCAAAATGGTTTTCTTTCATTTTCTCGGGAACCAAACAGGATGTGACTAATCAAGGTGGTGGAGTTCTTATATTATTTTTATTTTTGTTGCAGGTGAAGAAGGAAGGGTTGAATTGGAGATGGCGAGCGCTGTAGATGCTTCTGGAAACCCGATCCCAACATCGGCGGTGTTGATGGCATCGTCGAAGCACATTGGGACAAGGTGCCACGCGGAGAACATTGAGTTCCTGAAATGCAAGAAGAAGGATCCAAACCCTGAAAAGTGTCTCGATAAAGGCCGTGAAGTTACTCGCTGTGTCCTTGGCCTGTGAGATTTTTTTAATATTTTAAATGTTATTTTTGCTGATTTTTTTTATTTAGTTTTTTAGTTTTGTTTGGTGTCTTGAAAAAATGCATGGGGAAAAATTGAAATGGATTTTGTTCATTTATTAGATGATGAATGATGAATTTTTTTGATGATGAATGATTCCTCAATTCCGATCTGTTTATTTGGCTGAACAAAATAGAAGTGGCTAGAGTAGCAAATATTTGGCATTTTTCTGATATTGAGAGTCAATGTTATTGCCTTAGTTATGCTATCTCATCAATAAACTGTAGTAGGTTGTAAATGTCAATCTGTTGTAATATTTGAGAAGATGGATTATATTACAAAGATTCTAGCACACCCATTTTTTTATAACCAAACAACACAATTCCCTCCTTAAGCTGTTGGATGATTGACTGGTTGTCTATCATCAGCTCAAGTGCCTGCAGGCAAAGGTGTGTTTTTTTGGGTAAATAATTTGAGTGTGAAAGTAGCGTTACTCAAATTATATTCAACATCTTCTGCTGTTTTTTTTTTTGGTTTATTTTATTTTATTTTGGCGGGGGTTTATTAGCTTGATCACTTTTGCATGAAGATCAGAAGTCATGGACTGGTTTTATTAACCCTCGTTGTTTGTATTTGTCAGCTGATCTTCTGTTTTGTTTTTGTATATTTTACATTATTTATTTGAATTGCCATTTGTGTACAGAACCCTAACTGAGTAAGGCATTCAGTGAACATGTTATTCTCTTAAAAATGCTAGATAGGCGGGACATTTTTGTGAGAATTTTTGACTGTATGATTTGACATGCTTGTTGACTCTTGGATGGGTGAGTGGTCCCTATTACTTTGTTCCATCCAACAATACCCTTGAAGCTAGCTGAATTTTTTCAAAATTCTGGCTATTTTTTCTCATTGTGTAGCATTGCACCCATTCTTTTATTTTTATTTTTATCGTTTGGTACAAACTAGGTACTAAGACCTTAGTGATGGTTGGGCAAATTGAATCATTATTAAGTGTGTCCCCCCCCCCCCCCCCTCTCTCTTTCCTTTTGGCTTGCGTAGCATGATTGTTTATGGCTTGTTGCTGGTGAAATTTCTTTTGTCAAGTGCTAATGACTTATCTTAAACTGATTGATTTTGACATGCTTCTGATTTCATTAGAGTACTGTATATCTGTAACAGTTCAGATTCAATAATTCCTATTTGATGATGATTTGAATATCAATTCATAAATGATGGTGATATCTTTTTTTTCTAGAATTTTTAAATGCAAACATGGTTCAATATTATAAATGCGCATTACTGCCAGTATATTAGATATTTAACCTGAGATTCAATGTGCTCGCAGTATTATGTTTTGTCAGAGTAAACTGATATGGATTTTTCTGTTCATGATGAAGTTGGCTTCTAATTCTAACTTAGCTGCTTCAAAGGGTACTGCATTTGTAGAACCAAAAGTGCTTTGTTGTAGACTGTGGAAGACTGACATCTTATATCCATTTATATATTCTTTCTCTTTAGGCCATGAAAAAATTGTCATATACCCTTTCTTTCTTTTTCCATTTCCACGCCATCTATTTGTGTACTTGATAAATGGATATATAGAATGGTGATAATTCAGTTGTCATTAGATTAAAATTAGAAACAAGTGCAATGTGGGCTTCAAGATGCAGTATTAGTATTAGAACTTAGAAGTTTTTTTGGTTGTTTGACTGTCTTATTAATTATTTCTTGAAATTCTCTTGTTGTTTGCGTATTTAATAGTCATGTAGGTTCATCATCTCTGTTTATTGCTGATTTGACTCTTTTATTACCAAATCCTTGGATCTTACCATTTTGTTCATGACTAATGCCATGGGTAACTTGTTATTAGAAATAGAACATCTCTTAACTTGGAAGTGCCATATGTTTGATGGATTAGTAATAACAATATCTACTACTAAGATATACCATATGTTTCAAACTCCTATTATTATTGGCCGCCACCTGCTGCTTGCTGTTGGCATTGCTCTAGTTTTTCAGATATTAAAGGTTGCAAACACCTTATTGAAAATTTTATTGGATGATTCCTTGGCCTTTGAAAGGAAGCATACTTTTTTTTTGGTGGAGAGGAAAACACATTTATGGTCATAATCATTATCACTGCTTGACGATTTCTCTATTACATACAATGTGATTTCTCTATGATATTACTTGTGCGCACAAAGTACAGTCAGATTTTTATGATTCATTTCTAACTGATTATATGTTTGTTCTCAGATACACACTACTTTTTATAATTTATTTGATATGTTATAACTGAAGGTTTTCAGTCAGATGACTCCTATGTATTTATTGCTTTCTATCATTCCCTGATGCATGCTCTATTATACTATGGATTTCCCAAGAATTTCTATATGATACTGATTAAATGCTTGTTCTGCAGTCTCAGGGATCTACACCAAAAGTGCACAAAGGAGATGGATGATTATGTTGGTTGCATGTACTACCATACAAATGAATTTGACTTGTGTCGCAAAGAGCAGCAAGAATTTGAGAAAAAATGTCCTTTGGAATGAAACTATGAGCACTGCTCTTGTCGAAAATAATACCACAGGCGATTTGGAATGAAACTATGCACTGCTCTTGTGGAAAATAATTCTCAAATATTCATTGATCTTGTCTGTTTGTATGAATCTTTGCCATTAACTATGTTGGTCATCTAAATTTTTGTAGAGAAATGCATCCAAGCAGGACGAAACAAATTCTCTTCAAACATAACAACTGATAAGAAATTTTGAAGTTGGAACATGCTTGTGATTTGATTGCGTGTTGGAAATGCATATTTCTTGTGCTTTATAAATAAAAACAGGATAGCTTGCCAAACTGCACCAATTTCTAGTGCCTTGGTGCAATGGCTCCTGTCAGCTAAACTAGATCACCTTTACCCACCCATACCACATTGGTTTCTGTGGAATATTTGGTATGGACCGTGACCAGACTTGAACTGAGAAAACTGCCAGCTTCACCAAGATCAGTAATGTACTCATGTTCAATAGATGCATTATTATTACAGAAATTCAAAATTGTAGTTCTCTTGTCATATTAAATCTTAGAGTAAATATCTTTTTTAGTCCTCAGCAAATTTTACGATGTCAGTTTTAGTCCCTAGCAAATAAAAAAACTATTTATGGTTCCTAAAAAGTTTAAAATGGACCTATTTAATTGAAATTGTGGTCCCTCGCAAATTCAAAAAAGATCCCCATTAGTCCCTTAAATGGACTAAAATGAGTTCATTTTGAATTTCTGAGGAACCACGAATAGCTTTTTTATTTGCTAGGGACTAAAGCGAGCATCGTAAAATTTGTTGAAGATCGAAAAGGGCATTTACTCTAAATCTTATTCTAGTTATTTTTCACTTGGTTTTCGTAGGTTGAGACTTGTAGGATAGCTGAGGTGCAAACATTTCTTTCAAGTCGAGCAAACTCTTTTTAGAGCCTATTTGGTTCACCTTTTAAAAAAAGTGACTTTTATCTCTTCTTTAATTTAAAAGTTTCTTTTTACAAAAATTAAAGCTATTTATATTTTTATAAAAATATTTAGTTTTTTTTTTAAAAAATATTTGGCTTTAGATTTCTGTTTTTTGTCGAAGTTAAAATTTATAGTTTCTGAAAAAAAAAAATTGACTTTTTTTTGTGACTTCTGCTTTTTTTTAAAAATAGATATCCAAACGGACTAAAAATGAGAAGTGTTTTTTTCAAAAAAAAAAACAGCTTTTGAAGAAAGAAAAGTTCATCCATCCAAACGGGTCCTTATTCTCCTTAAAATAAAATGTTTTGGGTATGTGGATTGAACGTGAATAAAATATAGTTCTTTGCTTCTTAAAACAATAATTATGAAGCAGCAAAATTAACCATGGCACAAAATGACGTGAATGAACAAACTAAAATCCAACAAGCAAATCAAGTGACTTAGGTCTTTTTTTGGGATAAAATTAAACACAAGGATGCGGTCACAAATAAGTACCTCCTCCTTGTTTTCTAGCGGTACTGCGCCAACAACGAGAAAGATTTTTGTGCTCCAGAGCACATATTCCTTCTATTTAAAAAATGATATTTGGATTAAAAAATTATTTTTCTCTCTCCTTAGTTATTTTTCAATTTTGATTGGTCCGTCCTAATAAGTGAGTGGTGCTCTTGAGCACATATGTATTTCTCCCCCAAAAACACTTCATTATGTCTTGAATTTTATTTTATTTTAAGGCAATGATGTAAGTTGGATTTTAGAAATGCATCTTATTAAAATGATTCTCATTTAAAGGTGGTAAAGCAGGTAACTCGTCACATTTTGCCTCCAACTTGTCTTAAAATAACCCAACTCTCCTTCCCCTGACTTGCTTTTAATCTGCCCTGCTGTGCCCTCCAACTAGTGAATATATTAGAAAAATGAATTTTTTTTTTCAAAAATTATACTCTATGAATGCAAAATGTGTCAAATGAAGACAAAGAAGTATAAAATAAGGTTACTAATTAATGATTTAAAAAAAAAAAAACTAATCTAATAGATTAATTCGTCCCATAACGAGTTGAACTTGTTTTGACCTGCCTTAGGCAGGACGAGTTCAAACAAATTAGCAGGTTAAAATCCCAACTCAAATCGTCATTTGTGACAGAAAAACAAGTCAATCATTTTGCCACCTTGTCTCTTCACTAATTTTACATGGATGTCCCTACATAATAGAAAATGTTCTTATGTACTCGAAATGTTGTATATCTCATTTAATAGATTTCAATGGTACGTAATTGACTTCAACTATAGAATATTATAGTTTGCACTTATTCTAGTTGCTGCTAGGGGTGAAACTGAGCCGGACCGGCCCACAGGGGCCTACGGCTCGGCCTACGTCAGGTCAGACCTAACCTAATATATTTCGTAAAATAGGCCGGGCTTGACCCTTGAAAAAGCTTGTTTAATGAAAAGGTCGTAGGCCCACTTTCACAAGGCCTGACCTATAAACCTACAGGCCGGCCTATATTGTACTATTTATTGTAAATAATTAATCCTAGATGCTGAGTGCCACTTCGTAGGATTCGTTTGACAGCTTGCCAATGAGTGTCAAGTGGAGATTGCATGAATTGACAGACTTTATTTACACAAAATGAAATATCAGGACATGTTGTATATTGAAGGGCACCTATAATAGATCGATATAATGAGGGATCATGGAAGGGAGTTCCATCTCTAGAAGAAAGCTTTAAACCAGATACCATAGGAGTAGTTAGAGATTTACAATCTGTCATCCCTGCCTTTTTTAATAGATCAGCTATATATTTGGATTGAGTCAAGTGGAGAACACCACGGGATGAAGATTTAGCTTCAATACCGAGAAAATAATGAAGGTTGCCTAGATCCTTGAGAGCAAATGAAGTGTTGAGGGACTTGATGAGTGTTGAAATAGCAGGGGAAGATGATCTGTAATGAGGATGTCATCCACATAGACTAGCACATAAGTAGTAGCTAAAGAAGTGGTGGACACAAAAAGTGAGGAGTCACACTTGGTGGCAGTAAAACCAAGCTGTATTAGAGTAGTAGTGACCTTTTCAAATCAAGCTCTAGGGACTTGTTTAAGTCCAGAAAGAAAAAACCTTCCCTTTACATATTTTAAGTCTAAACCCTCTCGGGCAAGAAGAACTCTAAGGAGGCGTTTGATACGAGAGATTTTTTTTCTAGAGAAAAAATATTTCTGAGAATATGGGAGGAAATTATTTAGCAGGAAAGTAACAAAAAGTTGTTTTGTAGACCAAAATTTTACCAGATAATTTTGGATAATTTTACTGATGGTACGTTTGGTTGATTGTAAAATATTGATGAGAATATTAATAGAAATTACCAATTTAGCTACAATTTTTTAATATTGTAGCAATAATGAAGGAGACTCTTCAGACACCGCTCAAAGGAAGGTGCATTTTGGTCTCTTTTCATTAAAATCAGATTCTGGGTCCATGGTAAAAAAGAATACCATATGTTTTGTGGTATAATTTTTTAGTTGTGTTTAGTACAAAATTGAAATGATGGGTAATTTTTTTTAGGATTCTTTATACCAAACTTGGTTAAAAAATATTTCTCACCCACTTTCACATCCAAACAAAATATTCATACCAAACATCCCTAAGGGGGCATTCGGTACAGGGGTAATTCTTTAATATCTGGGTATCATGATCACTGGAAATATGTTTGGAAAAATGGTGACCGGGAATAATATGAAAAAAGTGTTTGATAGGTCAAAATATTACTGAAAATATTTATTAATTTTACTGAACAGGTGTTTGATTGATAATAAAATATTACTGAGAAAATAGGTAACTTTTACGAAAGTACCCTCCCTCGTAATACATAACTTTAAACACCATTTAGAAACATAAATCATAAAACAGCCCTGCGAAAGAGAACAGCCCATTTCGGTTGTGACCTATTTTTGCACCGTATTGAATTTGAATTTGCATATTCCCAAATCGTGAAGAAATCATCAATTTTCATCATCCAGGTAAGTCCAAAATCCTCTACTTATTTGTTGTTGTCTCATCCCTTTGCAAGTGGTTATGATTATGAATGGTAAGTCCACAACCCAGAAGTCATGCACTTGGTTAATGAAGTCATGCACCTCGATGGGGGAAGTGGTTATGATTATGAATGGGAAGCTGTATGGCCTAGCTGGAAGACCCAGTAAAGATTATGAATGGGAAGTGGTTAATGAAGTCATGCACTTGGAAGACCCAGAGAGAAGTTTCCGTCGATGGGCTACCTCCACAACAACATTGTTATTATGAGGAAAACAGGTTGAAGGAACAAAACTTATTCTAGGTCACAAGGGTATTTTTGTCTGCGGAATATGTAAGGTATCAATAATTACCATGTCGAATAAGGTAATATTTTTGGCCTGTCGATAGTGTTAATTGCATACCCAGTCACAAATTATTCCATGAAAAATTTAATGTTTTCTTTGTACCAAATATGGGTATTTCCCGTTCCCACTACCAAATTCCTGGATATCTCTTTAGATTTCATATACCAAACAGCCCCTATAAGGTGGTGTTTGGTTGAAAGCTTTTTAGGGGATATTTATCTTTCTCAAGTATGGCTTTTAGAAACACCATGTTTGTTTCAAAGTTTTTCACCAAAAACCCATCTATCCAATTTGTCTGGATTTATGAGAAACATAGATATCCGCACTGTTTAGAAACCCAATTTGAAGGTGGGATTTTTCGGAAAACCGGTTATCTGGCTTTTAATGCACTGTTGATTTCATAAAGTTACATAATTTTCCCAGTAAAGTTTTTCCCCACCAAACAACTTTTTTTTACATTTTTCTAGCTATCTCACTTTATCTATCTTTCCAATCATTTCTCTATCTATCTCATTTCCCTACTATTCCAAAAAAATTTCCTCAACCAAACGCCCCCTAAAGCTATTCCAAAGACTAGTTATTGGAGAATTTTGCAAATGTGGCCTCTCAATACATAGGAGAAACCAAGAGTATGTTTAGATCTTCTTCTTTTTTTAAGTTAGAAGCTACTTATAAGTTAAAATTAAAATTAAAAAAAAATTACAAAAAAAAAAGCTTAAACAAAAAACTAAAAACTATTTGGTAATCACATAAAAATTTTAGCTTAAAAATTATTTAAAAACACATATTTCAAGAAAATTATCTCTCTCTTTATATCTTTATAACTTTTCATTTAAAAAAAACACGCAATTCAAGTAAAGCATGTAAGAGCTTAAAAAAAACTCCTCTTAGAAGCTTCTAGCTTTCAGTTTTTTTCTTCGTTATAAAAAAATAACTTTTCATTTTAAGAGTTTTTTCTAAAATCTGTTGTGCCTAATTTATGTTTATAAATAATATCTTACATAAAAAAAAAATTATTCAAACAAGCACTAAGTTATAAGGAAATTCTTCATGTTGAGGACGGGGATTGATTATGTATATCAGCATGTATTCATGGACAAGCTTGGGTTGGTGCTACTGTCATTGTTTACTGGTAAGAGAAAATCATCATTCTTGAAACATTGTACAGAGTGAAAACTTGGAGATTTTGTACCATGAAGAATAGTGCTTTGAAGGGAGAGCTAAGTGGGGCTTTTCAGTTTGTCTACCAGTGTGTGTATTTCATAATAGGGTTTTATTAATCTCCTTTCACATAAGATAGTTATCTTACGTGGTAGACAGAAAATGAGTGGGTCCCACCATTACAAGAAAAAATAAAAAGAAAAAACAAAGTGGGGTACGAAAATCGAAGTGAGAGAAAATGAGATAAGTTACCTCATGTAAAAGAAGAGTAATATTTCCCTTGTAATAATGTATCTACTTCTCCAACCGTTTGACCAAGGGAGTTTCTTTTTTCTAAATTATTAATCTAGTTGTTCCTGCTGATGAGATAAAATTTTCCTTCATTAGTAAATTCCCCTGTTTTTATTTACAAAAAAAAAAAAAAAAAAAAAATTCCCCTGTTGTTGATATGGTTTATTTTAAGTTGATTTATTCGCCGTATCATTGATTAATCACGTGGGATTCTTTCTTAGATTTCGATCTTAAGGTAGTATCTATTTATTAATTTGTTTTGTATTTTAAATAATATAAAATACAAAAAAAAATATTTATTTAAAATATTTTTCTTAATAATTTATTAAAATATGTCATGTGATTGGAAAAAAAAATTATATATATATATATATATTTCTTTTAGAGCAACTACAAAAAACAAATATCTGTAGCAGAGAAAAAAATTGGGACTATTAGTGTATGATCAGTCACCCTTATTAGTGTAATTGTAAAAAAAAAATTGTAAACAAATCTTTTCATATATATATATATATATATATATATATATATATATATATATATATATATATATATATTGGTTTTTGCACCTTCCGAGGAAAAGATACATTTGACAAATAAAATTTGGGTAAGTAAGAGGTTAATAACAAAAATTGCATGATAAGATTATAAATGAATTTAATTTTAATGAAATGTCATTATAAATTTTTTTTACACATTTATTTAATTTTATGTTGGCATATCCCTTTATTAAATTTAACTTTATTAATAACTATATAGATTATCTCTATTAAATTCCATCTTGCATATTACTTGAGATAAATTCTCAACTATAGTTGACTCTATTTAATAATTTTCTTATTTTTCTGATCATTCAACTTTTACCGTATTTCTCCGAATTAAAAGGAAAGAACAAATTCAGGGTGAAAGGCAAAACCCCATTTAACACAAGGATGGAACAGACACACCACACAGCTGTTACTGCAGTAATAAGTAATTGATTAGGGATTCAAGAATAGAAAAAGAAAAAATTGTTTATAAATATGATAAAAAATCGGGAATTGAAAACAAATAATAAAACCTAAAAATTAATTTTAAAAAATCATGTAAGATATACTAAGATATAATTAAGATATTATATAATATTTTCTATACTTCAACCGACTTATGTCAATTTATATACACGAGGAAGTCTCTTGTTCCTATTGTCTTTGATGAAACCTTCACTTTACATAAGTCTAAACCTTCTGTCATAGTAAGGATTCTAAAGTTATTATTGTCAAGTTTTCAACCTTAAAACAATGGCTGTTTTAAGAGTAAAGCAGGGAAGGATTAAGAAGAAGAAACATGAGTCCCTCAAAGTTCTTCCAAAAGATTTAGTAGTGGAGATTTTTGCAAAGGTGGCATCTCATTCGATTGCTGACATCTGCAAGGTCAAACTATGTTGTAAAGAATTTCTTCATGCTGCAGAGGATAATTACGTGTATCAACATGCATCCATGGATAAGTTTGCATTGGTGCCACTGCAATGGTTTACCCAAGAAAAAGAATCATCATTCTTGAATCGTTGCAGGGAGAGTGGTAACTTGGAGATTTTGTACCGGGAAGGAATGGTACAATACTTCAGTTCTTTGATGGTAAAGTTGGGTCTTGAAAATTTGAAAAACGCAGCATTGAAGGGTCATGATGAAGCCAAATATGTTTATTGTATGCTTTTGATGTGCGGTGAAGATCAAGAACAAAGAAACTTGGGATTTGATCTTTTTCGTTCTTTGAAAACATCCACCTATGTTAGAAGATGCAGAGAGAGGGTGAAATCTTTTATCAATAGCATGTGGATGAATAATCCAGTGGCTCGAAATCATCACTTATCTTTATGTCATTCTAGCACATGTAAACTGCAAAAGCTATCAAAAAGATTGTCGTCATGGGTTGAGGACGAAGATGATGGTATCACATGTGAATATTGCAACGGGGATTATGAACTGAATATATTTTGTAATATGTTTAGGGTCTAATTTTATCACCTTCTGTTGTTTGAAGTTTTTTTTTTTCTTCATATTCGGATTCAGTGTCCTTGGAATTGTGGCTATAGAAACTCAAAAAACAGAAAGAAGAACATGGTAGTCTATCAACTTTTCCAGAAAAACCATTGTTTCTTTTTCTTTTTCTTTTTCGAATTTATCAATTGCTCCTGCTGATAACTGAGGTAACCCAACGAAGAAGATGTCTAAATTTTCTATTTCTGCATCATTAAACTCTTCATTCTTTAAAAAGAAAGAAAAAAAGAAAAGAAAAGAAACTCGCTTATTCTCGATATTGTGTACTTTAATTTATTTATGACAATCACATTGATTAATCATGTGGGATTCTTTCTTTGAATTAAATCTTAAGACTATTTTTTGGGGATTTCAAATCTCTTAAATTATTGTCATTTATTAACTTGTTTTGTCATTTATTAACTTAGGTTTGATGTTTGTCATTTTAAATGATATAAGTTATGTCATTTTAAGAGAGAGATAGACACAGAAAAATAAAAATCATGGGAGACAGAAAGTGAGTGATTTTTTTTTAATTTAAGAATAATCGATATCACTTCTGCTTCTATTGTAACAACAAATTACCCAGGAATATTCACCTGTTGTCCATCGACTACGCCTTTCGGCCTGATCTTAGGCCCTGACTCACCCTCCGTGGACGAACCTTGCGGAGGAACCCTTTAAATAAAAAAAAATTTGTGCCTGTCTCTCTCTTAAGAGGACAGAGTGTTATGTTATTTAAAATAACAAATAATTTTCCCATTTAACTTATTGTGCACTTTAATTGATTTATGACAGTCACATTGATTAATCGTGCGGGACTCTTTAATTGATTTATGACAGTCACATATTGATTAATCATGCGGGACTCTTTCTTTGATTTATTAATCCTCTTATTGTCACTGATCTTTTACTTGAAAGTTGGAGTCTTCAGTTTCAATGACTATGTTTAACAACCACTCTTTTATGTGGCTTCCCTTCTGATTTACTTCCTTTCTATGAAGTTTAGCTAATAACTCATGTTCCTAAATCTTTGTACATTTTCTAAGTATGCAAGCCTACTGGATGCGAACAAACGCATAGCACCTTAAAACTTCAAGAACGAGCACGAAGTTGTTTTCGGTGAGGAATGAAACGAACTTGGAAGGAGAGGACAATCCTCGTTTTTGCTCGCTTTAAAAATTGATCTAAACGACATCAGACTTTAAGCATAGTTTAACTAGACTTGCTCATTTGATCCCTTTAACACCAAGAATGCGCAAATTTACTTCCAAATAAATTTCATAACAGTCAAATTTCTAAATTCTTTTATTAAAAAAGTCATATCCCTGCAATAATTTGTCATCCAATTACTGAATAATACTGTTGAGATATATAGTCCCACATTGGTTGTATGTGCAACTAATGTGGAGTTTATAAGGCCTTGGACACTCCCATCCTTTGAGCTAGCTTTTAGGGTGGTGTATCCCAAGGTTCTTTACATGGTATCAAAGCCTCGCCGCCGCCTCCCATTTTCTCTTGTGATATTTCTTAGCACAGTTAGGCTGAACCTGTTGCATTGTCCACTCTTCAAGCCCAATGGGCTCTCGTGTGAGGGGGCGTGTTGAGATATATAGTCTCACATTGGTTGTATGTGCAACTAATGTGAAGTTTATAAGGCCTTAGGCACTCCCACCCTTTGAGCTAGCTTTTCGGGTGGTGTATCCCAATGTTCTTTACAAATACAACCAGTAATTTATATACATAACACTTTACTAATTTATATCCTAATAACATACACTTAGTAAAATCAAGAGTAAATATCTTTTTGGATTCTCAACAAAAAAATACAAAATCCATTGTATCCTTTAGAAAATAAAAAAAAAAAAAATCAGACTTGTGAACTTGCTGCTATCTTGCATATTTTATTTATCTAGAAAGATAATTTGCTTAAAACTGGAAAAAAGAAATCGACAAAATGTACCAAATGGTGTCGTGGTGTAGTTGGTTATCACGTCAGTCTAACACACTGAAGGTCTCCGGTTCGAGTCCGGGCGACGCCAAATTCATTATTTTTGCACTTCTACTTTAAATAAATAGATGCAAAATATGCTCTGGCATGAAGGTAATTCATGAAGTAAATGATAAATTCTAGTGCACATCATCACAGTCCTAAATCTACAAACATTATTATTACATAAATGAATAAAACTTCTAATTTAAGTTTTTATTGTTCCAAACAATAAATAATAGATGGATGAAAATGTTGATTGACTTAATTCAAAATATTAGTTGAAGTGAGATATTTAATTCGTCAGATACTATGAGACAATGTAATAAAAAGACTTCATTAATTTTTTCTTAATGAGAGATCATTGTTCACTACACACAAAACAGGTTTTTGAGAAACGAAACCTCTTCTTAGAAAGAAGAATAGCTACACTCATTCATGGTGTCAGTGATGGTGGTATCAGTGTCACTGCTGCTAGGACTTTTCTCATTACATTGGATGAATGGTGCACTTGCTGGTACTGACATGGAAAGATTTGTATTTGGAATTTTACAATATGCTTGCTGAATGTTGGTTGTGGCTACTGTAGAGTAAGGTAACCTAGCAATGGTAACAGTAGAAGTAGCAGTAGTAGTAGTAGCTGGTTCATGGTTTGTGAAACGCTTTTTAGCACCTCTATGCATATGTGTGGCACAATACTTTTGACCAGGAAGAACAGCACTCTTGCACCGCCACTTCTTACCATCTGTTCTACGGCACCTACCAGGTTCAGGTTCTATACTGTTTCTGTCATTGAGGTATGGATGATTGCAACCAGAAACTGAAATGACAGATAAAAAAGAAACAAAGAAACCTCTATCAGCTTTCTCATGAAAAGTTTACCCTCAAAGTTTCGGATAACATTAACATGCAAATATAAGGGTTTTTGAAAACTCAAATATTTTGCAAAAATAATGCGATGGAAACAATTAGGGGGGTGTGCGAGTACAAATTGTGCATGGGGTGATGCACAACTTGCAATGCGCGATACATGGCAAGCACGCGCTGGCTTTTGCACAAGTCGTGCATCATCCCATACATGTCTTCAATGCACGCACACACCCCAAGAGTGTCTCGCTCTATTATTTTGGCAAAAATGTTTGGCTTTTCAATCAATGAGCAAAAATGTTTCCCTTTTCACATTAAATGGGTCAAAAGGCCAAATATAAGAGATGCAGAAACTCATGATTTTTCTGAAATGAGAGATGCAATTTTAGAATTAGTTGCAGAAAGTACAGATCCAGGGAAATGCTGAAATTTAACATGGATAGGGATGGCAAGGATTAAGCTTTTTTCCATCACAATCAGAAAGTACAAAATGATTAGAGTGCACTTAACGGGAGAACCAATGACATATGAGATTCTGAAGTTTGAATTAAACCCCACAGAATATACATGACAGCAAACAAGACGGAACATACCAAGTTGCTATTGATTTTCCGTAGTGTTTGTAAGATCGGGTGGGACCATTGGAAAAATAATAAGAAACATTTGAGGAACATGGGGCTTCATGAATATATGATACATGATGTGCTAGAGTCATGTAGCTGACCCCACTTAATGGGAAAGGATTGACTGTTTTAGAGTTTGTTGTTTTGGTTGAGTTGGGGAGGAGGGGGGGGATCAGTCTATAATCCTCAATTCCTATAATAAATATTTATCCAATAACATAGAAAACTAAGGAACCTCACCATTATTACCTTGAAGAACACTCTTCGGGGAGAAGCCAAATCCAGTAGAGATGCCATTACTATCATAAATAATGCTTCCTTTCCCACCACTTCTAATACTGATGTTGTTGCTGATACAGCTCTTGGTCTGGTTATCTTTCTTGCATATATCTAAGCAACTTCTGTTATCTGAAGCAACGTATGCCATGCTAGCAACAGTGGAGCCAGAAAAACCTGTGATATTTTTTGATCTATTATCATTAGCTGAAGAGGTATTGACAATACAGAGGCTCCTTGATGGGGCACACGAAGATGTGCCACTAGGTTGAATGGCCAAAAGGTTTGGATTTGAAACTGCAGATTCTGTGTGTGATGCTACTTTGGTATGTAACTTGCCAGAAGGTTTTGTTATCAAAGGAGAGTTAACTTGAGATGTTTCCACAGGCTTTCTTGAACGATTACGACCTCTATGCATGTGTCTTTCACAGTATTTCTGATCAGGTACTACCTTCTTACCACACCTCCATTTCTTACCATCAGTTCTTCTACACCTATATGGTTCTGGATCCACCATACTCCCATAATCAAAACCAAAGCGAGTATATTCTGTAACATAAACAAATGAACAAAAAACAAAAAACCCATCATTATCTTACAATCACATAAACAACTGACATTATTAACATCAAAAAAATTTGAAATTCTGCTTACCTTTTAAAATATCAAAATCACAAAATAGAGCCTTACACTAATTAAATCCACAGGTAAAACAAAATTTAGCCAATAATTAAGTCCAGAAGAAACAGGTAATACATTCCAAGACTGAATCAAACATGACACTGGCTCTTCCACTAATAAACAACAACCCAACTCAAAGAAAAAAATGGAACTATATATACACACACCAAAGTGATTAATTTACAATTGTATAAGAATAACAAGTTAGTCACACCCATCCAATCTTAGTCATTAATCCCATTTACATCTATGTGAACAAGTGTTCACATGACTAATAAATTAAAGCAAATTCTAACACCTCAATCTTAATCACTCACCCCACTTGCATACAATTTCTCACATAACTTATAAATTAAAGCTATTAAATACAAAAGGAATCAACTTGGGTGTAACTCTTGTTATTATTGAAAAGGGGATGATGAGAAGTTTTTACAAACCTGACATATTGGTTGGGAATTGAACAAGGTGATGAGGAAGAGGAAGGTTATAGGCAAAGTGGTTAAAGATGAGAACTTGATGGTCAAGCTCACGCTTCTGAGCCTCTGTGAAGAGACAACACTTGTTGGGGCATGCAGAAATAGCAGCAACCCCAATATCAAGTTCAACAGGGGAAGAGTTCTTCTCTTCCTTAACCATAACAACCCTTTTCTTCTCTTCTTCATCAACATCGCCACCTTTCATCGTGTGTCCCATGTCAATCTTCTTCTGGGGTCCACCACTTCCTTCCCCTCAAAAAAAGAAAAAAAGAAAAAAAAAGACACACAAACCACAAAGTAAATATAAGAATAATAAGAAGATAAAGAGATAAAAAGAGAGAGAGAGAGTAAAAAAGGTAGAAATGATGAAACATGTAATGGGTAAAAGAGAAGAGAGTGGAAGAGAAACCAGAAGTGTTGTGTGAAGAGGGAACAATACGAAGAGGCTTAGCTTCCATTGTCACATTCACATGAGCTTTTTCTTTTTCCTAGTGGTGTCTGATAGTGAACTAAGAAAAATTGCTTCTTTTTTGTTAATCTTCGGTGTAAATAAAAAAATGAAACTTCAAATGCTAGTGTGAGGAAAGTGAAGAGAGAGAAAAAAATAAAGAAGATAAGAGAGAGAGAGAGAAAGAGAGAGAGAGTGACTAAAGCCGTGGCAGAGGTTTCTGACAAACATCTTATTACGTTGAAAGCGTTTGCAGCAGTCACATTCAGACAAACAAAGATGATGAAGTTTACATTACACTGAACTGTTCTAACATTGTTGGGCGCGTGAAAACCACGCTCACGTGGTTGGTCTCCTTTCCTTTGTTAAGGTTGCATATCAAAATGCTATCAAATAGTTTTAGGGCAATACTTTTCTCATTGGAGAGGAGAAGATCTCTTACACTGGGGTCCACATAAAAAAAAAAAAATAAAGAAAACAAAAAAATTATTGCACGTAAAATGAATTCTCACTAACATGAGAAGAGAGCTCCCCTACAACATAAGAATTCTTTTTTCCATAGTTTTAGTGCGTATTTGCTACATTTTTTTATTTTAGAAATAGGGTAATATTACTCTTATGTAACATGAGAGTAGTTATCTCATATTACAGAGAGAATCCAAGTAGGGCCCGCTATTTAAAAGTAAAAAAAAAAAAAAAAGGAGCACAATTTTTGAAGTGAGAGAAAAATAGATAACTACCTCATGTAAAATGAGAGTAGTATTTCCCTTAGAAATAATACTTATTTTTAAAAAATATTTTTTAGAATTGTTTTTGAAACGTATTCTTATATCAAGTTTAAATTATAATTAAAAAAAAAGAAAAGTTCATCAATGCTCCCGCGGTTTATGTCAGAATCACTTATATATCTAAGGTTTGAAAAAGTTTATGCTTTTTATCACATATGCCTATGTGATTTTTTATTTTTTACAAAGCATAGGAGCATATGTGATAAAAAAATCACAGAGATATAGATAATTCTAAATCAAATTGATGAACTTTTTCTGTAAAAAAATGTAAATTGGGTTTTTTTAATAAATAAGAATGTGAGTGAAGTGAATAAAATTTGAGAAAAACATTAGTCCTTTTTACGGATAGTTATTTTAGTTAAAATAATTATTTTTTATTTAATATTTAAATTATCTGATTTTTTCTCATCATTGTGTAAATCTCTCACTATAAAATAGTATATTTTTTATAAAATGATACAATTCTATATAGGACAAATATTAATTCCATAAAATTTACCTAAATGTTATTCAAAGGTTAAAATTGATTTTAGATAAATTTTATGAACTATATTACAGGTCCTTTTAATTCGTTGTTAATTATAAAAATATTATATACATATTCTTTTTGTTTTTTTAGATATATTTTTATGGGAAAAGTGTTATGACATAACACTCTGTCCTTTTAAGAGAGAGACAGACACAGAAAAAAAATTATTTAAATTTTAAATTAAAAAAAAACCATACGCTTTCTCTCTCATGATTTTCATTTTTCAGTGTCTGTCTCTCTTAAAATGGTATAACTTATATCATTTAAAATGACTAAACCCTATTTTTATTAGGGGTGGCAATACAGGTATTGACCCGCGGGTTGACCCGTGACCCGACCCGCCAAATCACGTGTCGTGTCAACCCGCGGGTCAGGGCGGGTCGTGTCAGGGTTGTGTAAATGTGACCTGTTTTTTTTCGTGTCGGGTCACGTGTCAATCCGCGGGTTCGCGTGTCAACCCGCACAGTGTCATTTTTTATTTTTTAATTAAATATTTTATTATATTAGTTTTTATTCATTTATATATTGATATATATAGTCATTGTTTAGTATAGAAAAGAATAGAAGGAACTAAAAATCTCAAAAAACAGAAGCTAATCTTTTTTTATTTTTATTTTTATTTTTTATTTTTTAATTTATTTATTTTTCAAAAAATCCCACTTTTTTTTTAAATTTTAAATTTTACGGGTCGTGTCGTGTCGACCCGTGACCCGCAATGGGTCGTGTCAGGGTTTGTGTTTTACAACCTGTTTACAAAACGGGTCGTGTCAGGGTCGTGTCAAATAGTGTACGGGTCAAAAACGTGTCGTGTCGTGTCGTGTCGGGTTGACCCGTATTCTCACCCCTAATTTTTATTACTTGGTCATGTTTCACATTTATTTTGAATAATTTCATATTATTTTTTACTTGACTTAATAATAGAATATTGAAAAAATTGAAAAGCGAATATTAATAATTTTTCTCTTTATGTATTATTTTATTGTTCTCGTACTATCCATTATAAAATTACAATTATTTTTTACTTTTTTTAAATTTTAAAGTGTGACAAGATATTGATTTCCAAAAAAAAAAAAAAAAAAAAGTGTGACAAGATATTACGAAGACGGAACTTTCTAACATGTTCGTTTGAGAGTGAGTAACCTGTGGTTGGGGTGAGTGAGGTGCACGCGCATCCGGTTTCTCCTCTGTTTCTGGTAACTGCGATGATGGGGATGACATATCATAGTGATTTCCGTTGAGGTGTTGATGTGTGGGCCCGCAATTCATGAACAATCTCGCCTCCGTGGTGGGACCCACTTTTGCATGTCCGGTGACACATGGTCTTTTGCTTCACTCGAACAGTGTCCTCTTTTTACGTTTTCTTTTGTCTCTGCTTTCTTCCTTGGTTTCACTACCCAAGCCCATTAGCAATATTTTGCTCTCTTACGTCAAGCCCACACTGGCCTCACCCAAAAGAAGCCCACATGGGCAGTGCCCATGCCCATTTTCTTTCCTTCTTATATATATATTTTTTTAGTAAGCCCTTCTCATATTTTTAGGTTGGGAAGCCATATGGTGAAGTTCTCGTTATTAATTAAAGTATTTAATATTTTTTATATTGTACGAGATAAAATTATTTTCTACATATATATAAGGGAAAACTTCAAAAAACCCCTTACAAATTTTTTTCAAAATCACTTAACCTCCTCCTCGAAATTTTTAATCATTTACCCCCTACTTAAAATTTTGTTATCACTTATCCCCTAATTTGATTTTTCATCTAAAATTTTGTTAAATTTTTTAAAAGGTACCAAAATTACCCTTAATAGAAAAAAGAAAAACATAATTTCCTCCCAAACTACTTTGTAACTAGTTTAATATGTCTTTTTAATTTAAGGGATGATTGCTTAATTTTAAGTTTGAAAAACAATTGTTATAAATTTACGTTTAAAATATTCATATATACGAAACAAGTAGGATGCTGTTTTTTATATTTTAATTCCTGCAGAGAAAGTTTGGATTTTTTACTGTAAAACCCACAAGGTATGTTGCGAAAGTTGAGTACTATCATAGAGTTTGGCAAAAAAAACCTACTTCATTAACAAGCCTACTTTTATCAAAACCCATGAGGTCCAATGTATCTGTGAACAAAAATAGGAGATACAAAAATATGGACCAGGGTCGGTATATATGCAGAACACTTGCCCCACTCACACCATCTATTTAACTGATATATAGCGAAAAACTTATAATATAATTCACATTCTCAAAACAAAATTCACCAACAAATGCTAATATTGACATACAATGAGGCTTCCAAGTTCCAAGTCTTGTCTCGAAGAAAAAATCGTAATTATGGCAAGTTTTATATCAAATCAATCGTTATTATTATTATAACAAGGAGGTATTCTCACTTAGTCCCTTTAAATCACCTTGCGGTTCAAGAATTAGCTATGATAAAACATAAAGTTTTACAATTGGTACCTTTTAAAAAATTATGTTTCTGAGGAAATTATGTTTTTCTTTTTTCTATTAAGGGTAATTTTGGTACCTTTTAAAAAATTTAAAAAAAAATTGGATGAAAAATCAAATTAAGGGGGGTAAGTGATAAAAAAAAATTGAGTAGGGAGGTAAATAATTAAAAAATTTGGGGATGGGGTTAAGTGATTTTGAGAAAACTTGTATGGGGGTTTTTGATCTTTTCCCTATATATAAAAAGTATGTAAAATTCATATCTTCTTTTTTTCTCTCTTTTGTCACACGGCCCCACACACTTTTATATATGTATAAGAGATAATTTTATCTCCTACAATATGAGAAACATCAAACCCTTAATTAAATTTCATGGAATACTATTTTCTTAACAATTGTTATGAATGAGTTTTTAGAATTTGTTTGCGAGCTGGAATACAATGATTTCTCATCGAATACATTTTTATGGTAGATATGTTGTGCGGGCCAAGGAAGGGAAAAAGAAGTCGTCAAAAGATGCTTCTGGTTCTGGTTATGGAAAATTAATTCCATGGGCGCCCTTTCTCTCCTCCTTCTTCCTCTCTCCTCTCATTTCTCTCTCTGTGGGGGTGCATGGCTCCTGAACCACTACAATTTGCTCCTGATTATGGTAAAACTGCACATTCTTCTGGAACCTCACATTGGTGAATGCAGCAGGCCTGATCATTTTGTTTTGGCAATCTTATTCTTACAAGTAGACCAGCCAAGTGAGCATTTTTTTTAGGGAAAAATAACTCTATATAGAGTGTTTTTCTTTCTTGTAAACCCATCAATATAGAGATCGCGTATTGTAAGAAACATTGAGCTTGTGTATGTTGAGTATGACTCTTAGTATATAGAGATCTCGTATTGTTGTGGGTCTCAAATTTACTTTTCTCATGAAAGCCTAGTTTATTTAATAGTTTGGGACTAAACCCATGAATAGTTCGTGGCCAAGAATTTTTAAATCTATTTATATTTTCTTATAAATAAGAACATTAGTCATAATGAGAAACTTATTGGATGTAATTCTAGGGGTGAACTCAAGGTAAACTCTGTACACTATTTTTCTCACCCTTTTCTCTTTCTATTTTTGATTGTTAGTGTGATTGCTTTCATCCTTACAATTTATACTTTTCTCACCAGCTTGCTATACCAGTTCAACTAGAAATTAAATTATCGACTGGTCCGCTCCAATCAAATTACTAGTTGAAAAATGAATCAATCAATTTTTGAAGATAATTGCTACATGGAATCCAATCCCTAGTCTAACAAAAAAATACATGTAACATT